CAACCTCTTTTGAGGTATGCAAAGTTAAAAAAAAAAAAATACAAATAAGTTTTTTTAAAGGGCATGGCTAACGGAAATACCGAAATACTTTAGTGGATAAGTCTGCAGCCCTCTGGACCTGCGGATCTAATGGATTTCCCCTAGTCAAAGGTCATGGACTGCACTATAGGCCAATCCAATTGGAAGAAATGCATAATAAAAATAAACATTAGTTGTGTGAAACCTTATTATACTGTTCTTGCTGGGCGTTGACATTACGTCATTTTACGGCTCAATTCTTAGTTTTGACAAGTCCCACCCCCACCTCGTGTTTCTTTATCCTCTATTATTAATATATTCCCTACAGAGATGCTGATTTTTTCCCCCCTTGCGAATCAGTTGTGAAGTTATAAAACTCAGAGGATTGAATCCTGAACGATAAGTTCGATCTTATTCGCATTATAAATCGATTACGAAACCCGATTGTCACTCGTCTATGTCTTGTACTATCTTTGTCTATGGTCTAGTTGGGAAGTCCTATCACAGCGAATTCCCGATTGTTCAGTCAGTCAGTGTGCTAAAGGAAAATGTGTCCGACATAATATTATGTTGATGTAGACACCAATGTGGTTCACTGTGATCTATGACCTAGCAATATAATAATTATGTACGTATGTGTGTGTGTATGTGTGTGTGTGTGTATGTGTGTGTGTGTGTGTGTGTGTGTGTGTCTGTCTGTCTGCGTGTGTGTGTGTGTGTGTGTGTATACGTGTGTGTGTGTGTGCGAGAGAGCGAATTCTATCTCCCGATGAGCGAGGTAAATTAACGTTTGAGACTGAAAAGAAAAAGTCGAAGGGCGTAAACGAGAATTCCTATGAGATCTTCAAAAAAATTAAAGTTACTTTGGGTTTTATACTCCTTTCAACACAATCTAGATTTAGAGATGAGGAATACAAATTTATATGACTTTCCATCTCCGACAAGGTGTTGGATATCGGTAGGTAATATCATATTACGAAAAACAAAGATGATGGATTTGAATCTGGATTGTAGGAACCACGACCGTTTGTCTGTCCAGCTTAAATAGTGCTTAGAGGATGGTCTGGAATGACATAGTACGAGTGCTTCGTAAGATTTCCCCACCCTGTTCAACATGAAACCGCTGAATCTAATGTCAGTCTGCATAAGATAAAAATAAGCAGGTGAAGAGCCTTGACAACTCCCCAAACCATCCATGTTCTTAATCCTATCCGTACGCCCTTTTTTTTTTTTTTTTGAAATACAGAAAGTTTCAAAGAGATCTTCATACTAGATCTAGAAGTATTCTAAAATGTGAAGAGTGCAACCCCGGGGGTACAAAATGACCCCAGGGCGTTCGGATAGGGTTAAACAAAAAATAAAGCTGTAACAACAATAATAAAAACAAACACTTACAACAACAGACAGAAAAAAAAACAGAAGCAAACGCCCAGAACGCAAGACAGCCAATTTGTAATTAGTCACAACATTCATTGTCTCTTCTCTCGGACTCTCAACCGTAATGTCGTGGGTTCGAATCCTGTCAAGGACCCGACGTTGTGTCGTTGGGAAAGACACTTAACGCGAATTTTCCTCACTTCCCCCATGTGGGAATGGGTACCCACCCAGCTATAGACAATGAAAGATCTTGCCAGTTTGGTAGTATTTGAGCGCTTAATCAGCTGCTTGCACTATATACTTCCAGGGAAGCTGAGAATGTTTCTGGGTGTTCTATGGTCTGCTGGGGTAATAATAGTGCAAAGCGCATAGAGCTTGATGTAGAGCGGGGTTATGCGCTATACAGATGATATTTATTATTTATTATTTATGATTATTCTTCTCTACTTTTCAGACTTCTGTTCTTCGGCGACTGGGGCAAACAACCGCGGATATCCCAGTCCCTGCTGGACGGGTCACAGGTCAAAGTGATCTTGGACAAAGACCTCAGTAACCCGAACGGTCTGACGTTCTATGACGGCAATCTGTACGTGGCTGACTCCAACTTCAACAACAAGACTTCCTCGCCACACCTCATGTTGTACAATGTGGAGTCCAAGGCTTGGACGCAGCTCAAGCTCAGCTCAAACGTTTCTGTGAGTTATATAATATAGTCCTATAAGCTGTGCGTGTCTTTGAACAGCATTCGTTTTGATTGTTAGTTGTTGTTAGTGGTGGTGGTGCTGATGTTGGTGGTGATGGTGTTGTTGGTGGTGGTGGTAGTGGACGTGGAGTTGGCGGTGGTTATGGGGGTCGTTATGGAGATGATGGTGGTGGTGGTGGTAGATTGGTGGTGCTTGTGGAAATGTCGTTATTGTCGTTATTTGTAGCTATTGTTGATTATTGCTGCTGCTGAGGAGACAGTGATGATGTCAACACCAGTTTCTACAGGAGGACCGTTTCTGGGGGGCTAATGAAGTGTTGCATGACATTGTAGGGCATCTTGTTGTCGACCATCAAGGACTATGATAGGGGACATAACTGCGTTAATAGCATTTGCTACACTTGGATGACCAAGAGTTATTTTCCTTTGATTTTTATCCCAACACCCTCTCTCGTCTATGGTTCCCAGCTGCCGATGGGCTTGGCTGTGCAAGGCGACACTCTCTACTACTCTGACTGGGTCAGCACCGACAGCCTGAAGGGTTATGTCAAGTCCTACAACCTGAGGTTTGGCGTGGACAACAACGTCATTCTCAGCGGGAGGCGGCCTACAGGGCTGCTCTACTCTCCCATGGCAAGGAGAAAACAAGGTATCGTTTGTCTCTGATGCCTTTTGCATGCTCTTTTGTTTCCTTTTTTGTGCTTATTTTTTCTTGTTTCATCTGGAGAAAGATGAGTGCAGTGATACTCTCATGTTAAATAAACGGAGAAAGGTAGAGGTATAACTACAGTGGCACCTGCTATAATGACCACCTGCCCAAGACAGTTACCTTCACGTTCGATTGTTCCCACTTCCTCCTTGCGTTCTGTGTATATCATAATGACACTGTTCAAAAAGACCACCTGTTTAAGATGAGCACTTTCGCCCTTAACAGTAATAACGTGTAGTAGTTTTTGGACAGGTTCGACTGTGTATAGTCATTAATAACATAAAAGTTTTGAAATGCAAATATTATCATGAAGTTTGTCCACTGTTAAGCTATAAACATTATTGTTTTCACCTCAGAATCCTTGGATGCTGTGTGCGAGGAGTCCTTGTGTAGTCACGGCTGTGTGAGGATGCCCCTCAACAAGGAGAAACCCTACCAGTGTGTGTGCTCAGACGAGTCCACCAGAGTTCTCTCCAGCAATCAGGCTACTTGCGCAAGTGAGGAGCATTCTTTTGGACTGATATCATGAATAGGAGTGAATTGATGGGCTAAGGGAACCGTTTTGAATTCTTGTGATCATTTTGTTGAAGGGATACACAAATTCTGTTTTTTGACCAAAAAATCTCCAGGCTGAAGGGCTTGATCTCAAATGGCTCTTGGATCTGAAAAGTAAAGTATAGTAACTCAAAATTTTTATTGAATCAAACCTACTCATACATCGTTCACAAAGTCCTTGCAAAAGTGAAAGATTATAAAATATCATTAGGTAGACCAGTAAATGTCTCCCTTGCTCGCATTTACAGATATTTGTCTTATCTTTACCTTATAAACACTTGAAATTAATCAAGGTTCTCTCATGTTTCTCTTAGGACCACAAAACTTCCTGCTTGTTGCTGACCTGAACACCCTCAAGCTGGTATCTCTGGATGACAACACAGACACCCGCTCCCACAACCTGCTGTACAGTGATGTCAAGTCCAATTTTGTGGCTCTGGCCTTCGACAAGTCCACAGACACAGTGTACTGGAGCGACCTCACCAAGTACGTTTTCACATCATTGGTCAAGGAGTATTTTTCCTTGAGTGTGCTGGGTGATATGAATACAGTCGAATCTGCTCAGAATTTCCTTAAACAACTTTCCCCAGCTCTCAGCTGTGGGTTATGTTGATAGATTAACAGAAGAAAACATATCATTTTCAGGATGGCTACACACTATGTTTATTAGAGGGCTTCATATTTTTGACTTTTTTACTACAGAGCTCGCATTTACTTTTGATTATCTTCAATAAACCACTTTATTAACATGAAATTTGAAATCACTTCCTTCATTAACTCAATTTAAAAATTAATCAGGGCCATTATGTAAGGAAAAATCAGAAATACTTTTGCATATAATGATTTCTTGGGCCATATGTCTTGGCTGTGGATAAATTCAAACTGAACTAACCACTGTTACAATACTAAAGAGCAGAGATTAGCGGTAAGTCAAACCAAAATGAACTGAATATAAAATACCTTTATGCTTTAGAGACATTTCCTGTATACATTTTAAAATCCACAGTCATGTCTAAAAAATCATATGTATTATTTTGTCCTGTTTTCTGTGACCATTGCAGGCAATCTATATTTTCGTCTCCATTTTCGGACTTCGAGCCTCACCTGGTGTACAAAGCTAATCATTACATTGATGGTATAGCTGTGGATACAGAGAAACAGCGTCTTTTCTGGACCGGATACATGCAGAATGGTTCTGGAGTGATTGTGAGGCTCAACCTACAGAGAGGCAGTGGATCATACCATGAGATCTTACAGGGCTTGAACAACCCAAGGGCAATACACATCTACCCAAAGAAAAAGTGAGTTGGACAATGTTAATTTAATATTGAATGGTTTCCAGTTCTTTTTTTGACCACGTTAAAGTAACAGTAAGCAATAATATTGTACTGTGCAAAAAACAATTAATGCAAAGTCAAAATCTTAGTTGAAAATATGTCCTGTTTTAGAAAAATTTGAATTTTGGTCAACACTTGAGAGATATAATTCTCAAGAGTGACTGTTCACTTATTGACACTATCCTTATGTTTGTTAGCTAATTAGTCGAGATTAGCATTTCTTGTAAACTTGTTAAGTTATTAGCACCTTTTATATAAGGCATCAACCCTTAGCCAGCACAATATCATGATTCTATCCAAGTGTAATCTAAGCTACTCTCATGCTTACTCCTAGTTAACCACAGCTTATCAGAACATAACGCCTTGTGACTTATTGCGAAATAACAGTTCTGATCTTTTTCTCTTTCAGACTAATATTCTGGACAGAGTATGGTGGCAACAGTGGCCCTGCATGTGTGAACAAAGCCAAGATCAATGGCCGCCACCCAAAGATGCTCATGTCCCACGGCCTGTTCTGGCCCAATGCTCTGGCGACACATAAGCAGCGTCTCTATGTAGCAGATGGGGCTGGCAAAGTCTTTGTCATGAACTTTGATGGTAAGATATTGAAAGCAATCATTATAAAAGTGACAATGATAATAGAAAAAATAATTATATTAATGCTTATAAGAGAAAGAAAATAGTAAAGGTAACAATATTGGTGATGATGATGATAATAATAGTATTAATATTTAATGATAACAATGATAATATTGATAATAAAAATAATAATGACGATGACAATAAGAATAGTATTAGCAATGGTAAAAATAACAGACACACACACAAAGACACAAAAGCACAAACACACACACACACACACACACACACACACACACACACACACACACACACACACACACATACACACACACACACATACACACACACAGGACACATGCACACATGCACACACGCATACTCATGCACCCACCAGCAGGTTCTCTTTACCTCAACTACAAAAATTACATTTCAGGCAGAGACCTTGAAGAGTTATCTTTCCTGACGGGCTCTGCCCTGCACATCTTCGGCCTGGTCATTATGGACACAGTTCTCTTCTACTCCGATTGGTTCACGAACAGCGTGTACATGGTAGACAGAGTGACCGGTCAGACCAGCGCTGTCGTGGAACATCTGTCTCGACCCACAAGCATTGTGGTCTACCACCCAACTAACTTGACTGGTGAGTTTGTCCACTTGGACTTTTTTTTTGCTTTAGAAAATCACCTCCAAAAAATTGTATGTAAGCCTTGACACAAGCAATTTACTTTGGACATTTCAATAGTTTACATTTTTCCTTAGAGAACATCTTTAGCTTGTGTCCTTTAACTGAGTTGTCTCTTTCAATCCATCCTGTTTCTAAAGCAGTTTTATTTTCTTTCTCTTTCAAATGTCTCATAACTTAAATTGAACATGGATTATTTTTCCCTCTTACGAAAGACAATGCCAATAAATACTGCTTTCTATTTACTTTCTATAAAGTGATAATAAATTACTACTCAGTGACAATGACAAAACTGCTTCTATCCTGCCAGAAACCAGCCAGTGTCAGACAGAGGGCCAGAAGTGTGCAGAGACCTGTGTCCCTGTTCCACGTGGCTTCCACTGCACATGTTCCATCGGCTCCAAACTGGCATCTGACGGATTCAACTGCATTAAAAGTGAGTCAGATTTTATGCATTGTTCTGGTAGAGATGGTAAAGGGAAAGATTTTTTCACTTGCGTTTGAAAGCGAAGTGACCAAATAGTAGGGAAAATCATATCTTGGAACTCAACTGTGTATGGATATTTCTGTGATAGCTTGGCAATAGAACTCTTCTTTCTTAGATGTTTACAAATCCCCAACAAATTACTTCCTGAAAAAGTTGAATGTATTTGAGGCTAATATATAAACTGCCCATTTAAAGAGAAAATGTTAATTCGTTTATTTTTCTTTTGGAAGGATCATGGCATAATTATCTTTAATTTTTTTTTCATGTTACCGTTATGTGCCTGATCATGTATAATTGAAGAAAGAAATTGCCATAATGTATGTGTATTGCTCAAAATAGTATTCTTTATTATAGAAATGGTAAATACTGAGCCGTGAAATGATTTCATAGCACTAACTTACCTCCCACAGTTAGTTCGGTACATCATGATGATATCCTCTCTGCTCTTTTTTCTTCCTCCTTCTTTACACTTATGCTTTGGCCAAGTGCTTGGTTTTAAAATGAGCTTTTTGTGTCTAGTAGGACTAGTTTCTTTGTTTGGAGGATCAATAAATATATCTTATCTGTTGATGTCTTATTAAACAAATTTTCCCAATGTCTGTTGTTCAGTGGCAAGTCCGTGGGAACTGACGGAGGAGTCTCGCTGTGGCAGTCAGTGTCATCAGGACGCCTACTGCTCCCAGCTCGTTCCCTTGCTCCAGTACCAGTGTGTATGCAAGACGGGGTATGAGGGGGATGGCATTCGATGCTCAGGTATGGAAATGAAACAGGACTTAGCTTTTTTGTATCTAATTATATTCTTAAAAGCTCCTTAAAAACCTGTTTGACCTTAAGAAAGCTGTTGTTTCAAATCAGCGTCATTTGAAGGTCTTTCTTTGATCCATCTGTTGTTTGTGGTTTGGAATTTGCCTGAGTTTAGTTAAGAAAATGTCTATTCATATCAGTTTGAGAATCTGCAACGTCTTGTGTATTATATGTTACATTCAATGCAGAATTAGGTTGTGTTGATAAAAAGAATCATTTTGAGCTTGTGTTTTCATTTGAAGCTATAGACCAACAGTGCCAGTATTACTTAGTGGATGTGGTCATATCAAAGTTTTTTGCATTAATTATGTTTTCCAGTTATAGAAATTAAAATTTTTCAGGTTTTGTACAATGATTGGCTCATTTGTGTACTCAAACATTTTTTTCTCCATTTGACAAAAAATCTGAATAAAGTAGTTGGTTGGCATAGTTAATAAATAACAGTTCTTCATGTGGATAATAAGAGAAAGTGATTTTAAAAATGTACGTTACCTTACTCTGTAAAAATACGTAGCATATATATAAAATGGATTTGATGCTTCTCAGAATGTGGCGAGGATTTCTACAAGCCTCTGCTAGGCAACGACACCTGCTATCCATGTCCTGTGGGCTCCACTACAATGGGATCAACCACAGCCTCTCAGTGCTACTGTACAAACCCTCAACATCGCTTGGTCAACGCTCTCTGTACAGGTGAGTGGCATGCCGGAGAATCAGGAAAACCTGTAGGTGTACCTTATTCAGACATTTACTACAAAGATAACATGTTGAAAGTATTCTTAATTAGTGTCTTCATTTTATTTCTATTGAATCCACACTCTCAATCCAGTGATATGGTTTTATGATATCTAGACGACCATATTTAAAAATCCTTTTAAAAGTAGAAGATTAAGATTTCTGGAATTTCTTGATTATAGATTACAAAAGCGCATAGTACTTGAATTTGATTGCCTTTGAATTCTAAATTGAAAATGTTCCTAAAATTACACATATTTTGCCAAGAATTTTCTCAAAGTTATATTCTCTTAATCTTTATATGAAAAGAAAAATATAAGTATTTCCGTTAATACAACAACAACAGTAACAACAATTAGAATGACAATATTGATAATGATAACAACAATGTTAAAACAATAACAATAACAATTATATTGATCATAATAAGAGTAATAATCATAATCAGTTTTATGAGACTTCCCTGGGAACATAAGACATTGTGTATTATTGCTCAGATGCCACTACAACAACATCTACCTCGACCACAACCAGCGAGCCGATGGAGCCCAAGACTGAGGAAGATTTTAACCTCAGCTCTCAAATGCCTGATCCTACCACAGAGTTCCCTGGGATGCGTTTGCCTGAAGGGACTATAGGTCAGGAGAAAAATGTTTTTGTTTAGACTTGAAACTTTAGATTGTATTGTAATGGACTGTACTTTATTTTTCTTTCCTAGTTGACACAATTTAATTTGTTTATGAGCTGGGCTGCTTTGACCATGTCTCTTATGTTTAATTTGGGGTATAGTATCTCTGCAGATATTTGAAGATACACAGCAGAATAGAAGGGCTGAGGGAAAAAAAAGTGCTAGAGGGAAATCACGCTTTAAGATTTGGGAATTTAATAGTCTTCTAAGTATGTATAGATTTGATTTTTTCCATAGAACTTCTCAAAGGAATTAGCTTATGTGTGTAATGTGATCATTTTTTCCAAAAATGTATTTGGAGAGTTTTTACAGCCTTTTAACCCTTTGTTCATTGTAATTTTTGTCCATAATCATTTGAACGATATGATCACTGAACATCTCTCTCTCTCTCTCTCTCTCTCTCTCTCTCTCTCTCTCTCTCTCTCTCTTTCTCTCTCTCGTTCTCTCTCTTTCTCTCTCTCGTTCTCTCTGTCTCTATCAATGTTTGTCTGGCTATCTGTCTACTTGCTACCTCTTTTTCTGATTTCGCACGTAAGAATAAATTATTAAAACAATAATATTAATCATCATGACTTTTGTCCAGGTGCTCCATACTTTGAGAACTGCCCTCACGGAGAGACAATGATGATGAGACTACCAGAGACCAGCAATCGCATCTGGTTGCCCATCAATTGGACGGCCCGCAACGTGTTCGGAGATGAACTCAAGAGCATCTCAAACTTCAACACAACGGAGAACAAGATCCTCATCCCATGGGTGGCTAACGGCCGAGCCGGGGTCCAGACTGTTGTCTTTGAGGCGAAGGATCAGTGGGACCAGATAGCCACGTGTCAGTTCCAGGTGTTGTTGGAGGGTAAGCTGGAGACTTTTGATGTAATTATTGGACATGCAATATTCTGATATCTGTACAGACCCATTATTTTAACTTCCATCTGAGTTGGTGGTTTTTTACTACTTTCGTAGGAACATTTGCTTACTGCAGGAAACAAGCTCAACACATTTCATGATTGTTATTGACTTTGAAGTAAAGTTCTTGTAAGGAACAGAACAGGGGGATGGTGGGGGGGGGGGGGGGGTTCTTTGTTTGTTATGGAGGTTTGATTGTTTTGTTGGATTTTTTTTTTTTGGGGGGGGGGGGGGCGGGAGGGAGGGAAAGGTTGCTCTGGCACAGCTGGCTTCTACTCTTGCTGCTAGTTTTGAATTCAAATTGTGGTGAAATGTAGTCATTAAAATTGGAAATCATTTGAACCTACAACTAATCTTGTTTTTTTTTTCCAGATTTTATTCCACCCAAGTTTTCATCTTGCCCTCACAACATTGTCCAGAAGACATCAATGAACAGAGAACCGATCACCTGGCAGAGCCCTACAGCCACAGACAATGTTCATGAACCAAAAGTCATGAAGAGCCACGAACCAAAAAGCGAGTTCGGTGTAGGGAACACAATGGTCACTTACACCGCAACTGATGGTGCTGGCAATACTGCTACATGCACCTTCAATGTGACCCTGATACACGGTACGCGTTTGAACTTCTTTGAAATATTTTATTATTTGGTTGAAAAATAGGCTTTGCTGTACTCTCCCAAAATACAATGTAGGTGGTTGATGGGTCGCTTATGGGGTCTGCTCTGTTTATTTCTTTTCCGTGTCAGGTATACCCTGCTCTGTTCTCATAGCTGTAGTCATGTCAGCACTGTGTAAATCAAAGCTCGACTCAACCCTTATTGAGACTGAAATGTTTACTTTAATGTATTATCTCTATCTTTTTACCTTCTTTCTTCCATACTCTATTTTAAAATAGGTGCCTTGACCTTAATGATAGAGTATGGAAAAAAGAAGGTAAAAAGATAGAGATAATACATTAAAGTAAACACTTCAGTCTCAGTAAGGATTGAAAAAGGCCATTTTAAAATAGGTGCCTTGACCTTAAGGTAGCCTTTTCTATAAATTATGTCTTCTTTGACACTGTATCCATAAAAGAAAAAAAACGGTGTTTATTTTCTTCGTTTCCAGTGCTATACTTTTGTCTGAATTGTTCTTTTCTCAGCAGATTGCAGTCTTTTGTAAATTGTAAGATAATGTTCTTTCATAATTTTAGATACCTGTGGATTGAGACCTCTGTACAAATATTAAGAATGCATAATTTTGCATTTTCAGAGCAACCCTGTGACCTGCCAGAGATCAAGTATGGAGCGTTTGTGTGTGGCACAGAGTACTCTGACATCTGCCACATCATGTGCAGTGAAGGTTATATCCTCAATCCTCTGGGCATGTTCCCGCGGTCTTTCAAGTGCATGATTGACTCTGATGTGGCCGACTTGACCAAGGTCATGAAACGGAGGTCGCCCTGCCTCAGTGAGTGACTGCTTGTTGTACAGTTTAGTTTCAGTCCTGTACTCTTGTGTGGGTGATGCAGTGCTTACACCCTGCGTCTTGCTCCTGGGGAAGATACCTGTCCCCTTGGTTTTATGCACCCTGCATAATTTAGCAAAATTTGATTATTTTTTGCATAATTTCTGATTATTTTCCTTTATCATTCTTTGTGAAAATTAACAGAATTGCATAAATTCACATTTTTGGGCTCAGCTTGCATAATTTCAGAATTTTTCTTGCATAAAACGACGGGGACAGAGATACTTATTCGAGGGTATAAATAACTACGCAGACATAGTAAGAACAAAACGACATGAAGACGACTTTAAGCGTACGTAGGTCATGAGCTTAAGGCCTTGTCTTTATTCACCAGCTCTCTTGTGATGAATGTTTAGCTGTGTCAGTTATACAAAATTATTTCAGAACTGAATGTTAATTGTTATATTTAGTTCTCTATACTGCTGTGAAACTTAATTAAGATTTGAATGCCATTCAAATTCAGGAGGAGAATATTACTTACAATGGATGCCATATTTTTTTACGAACAGACAAGGGTCAATTTTTTTTGGCTGCCAGACAAGACAGAGTAGACAATAAAATATCTTTATAGTCTTTTGCTGGATAAATCATGAGTTCTGAAATACATTGTCTGCATAATTGTAAAAATTTGAAATGACTGATATTTTAAGGTTTTACCTGAAATTATTTTTCAGAGAGAAGGCGTCCCACAACGGCACATCAAGAATTCAGCATCAGTTTCAAGGGTCCATGCCGTCCTAATGATGCTGTTCTCAAGGCAGAACTTAGGGAAAAAGTAAGGGTTTCTACCTTGAAAAAACCGTTCTGAGAATTCTATTTTTGTTTAAGGTATAGAGATCCAAGTCAGAAATGAAATAAACAAGGTCATTTTCAAAACTGTACACTCGGTTCCTCTTCGGGACCATAGGTTGGGGGTTAAGATTCCTGGAAAGAGGAAGTCCACAGAATGTACACCTTGAATTTCCAATAGACGGCGAAGTTCATTACTTACTTTCAAACAGTGGAAAAGTCTCATTGATACCAGTGTATGTTGCCTCAAAACATGATAGATTTTTCCTTCTGCAGACACAACAAATAGTCCACAAGCATGGTAATCAGTGCCTCTGAACTTTAAAAGATAACTGAATATCCCTAAATATTGGATAGGTCTCATTTTACACCTACAATGATCAAATGTCCATCTATCTAGGTCATTGACAAGTTGGAGTCCATGAACCTGTGTCTGGGAGCCACGTGCACTCACAGCCCGATCCGACTTGATTGTGGTCCGGTCGTGAAGCGAAGACGTTATGCGGAGGAATCCTTCAACATGACCTGGAATGTGACCATTGAGTATGTTCCTCCACAGCAGGAAATCTAGTGAGTACGACAAGGAGTATAGATCTGAGTTGGAGGGAAGAGAAGCACATGTACACAATCATTAGGCTATCATTTAGTAAAGGTGAAAAGTAAGACAGACAGAGGGTATCAACAGAGGGAAAGAAAAAAAAAAGGATCTACAACTGATTCCCTCCAACTACCCATAGATATCCTAGTCAACTGGTCAAGACCTTGACTTGAAATAGAAAAGTTGTGAGAACAGCTTTCTACTTGATCAGAAAGGACATTATATCCCTGGAATGGTATTGTATCTTATTTTCTCACCCTTCCCAGTCAATATAAGGTGATTTACTGTTGGGTGGCAGAGACAGAACATGTGTACCATATCTGTGTGAGCTTTACAGGATGTATGTCTCTTGGAGGATTATAGAAAATATTGTAGTTTTCTCTCCCATCCTCAAATCCCCACTACCCTGAAAAAAATCTCCTGAAGTCTATGTTTTAATTTGTGTCTAGAGTTGTGTTGCAAGAGAATAAAAGAAAAAAAAAACATCTCGTTCTAAAGCTTTTTTTTTTATTCCCTGTCCCTAGTGATGGATTCAGCAGAGGTCAAGTGGAACGTATTGTGACTGATATGAAGCTGGAGCTGAAGAAACTGGTGCCTCATCTCAACGTGTTTCTACGGCAACAAGCATACAGACCAGCTGCCCGCAGCTTCAGCACACGTGACTTCCAGTGGCTTTGTTTGTCAGGGGAGATGAAGATTATGGATGGATGTGGTAAGGCTGAATGGGAAAATTTAATGTCAAACGTAGTTTTGTAATGTTATGGACGAAAATAGAATGTAAAATTTTTTTCAAAGGGAAATAAACAAAAGCGATAGTAGTGTAAAACATGTTTTTAGTTACAGTTATAGTTGAAATTTATATATAGACCACTTTTTTTTATAAAAGCTAACTCTGTTCTTTTGTAAGTTTGTGAGTTTGTGAGTTGGCCTGTTTGTGTTAATTCTCTAACTCTGTCCCCTGGGGTTGTGCAACCCAGCAGCTTTTCTTAAACATTTATAAGGCTGGCTCAGCTCTTACCTTTTTAAGCCATTCAGAGCTATGAAGTAGTGTTCCTCATTTTATGAAGCTGTAGGGGACACTTTCTTAACATGTCTTTAATGTGTCATAACAATTTCTTTCGGGTAAGATGAAAGAATATTTATAATTTATAAAACTTTCTCCTTTGCAGCTATTCAGAATTTACCCTTCCCTGCCCCCTTACATCCCCACCCGGTCCTGCTCCTCCACAGCATTAAATACGTGCACAAAAGGATATTCTCTATTGTAAATCTTTGATGCTATGATCACAGAGACAATTTCTATTTCTTCCTCAGTGCCTTGCCCACCTGGCTCATATCTGAATCACACACTGATGAAGTGCATGCTATGTGATGAAGGATTTTACCAGAACACATCCAGCCAAACAAAGTGTGTGCAGTGCTCTGAGGGAATAACCATGGAGGCGGGAGCGGTCAACAAGACAGAATGTAAATACTCTTTTGTCATATGATTTGTGAAGAGTTTTTACTTTTGCAAACAGTCTGAAGTGTACAGGCTGTGCATGGTTGACATTTGTTTTAAATGTTGCATAATTACATCACACACAGTTGTAGATAACGATAAGCTAATCTGAAATTGCTTGAAAATTCAAGTGCATTAAATGTGCAAAAATATGCACACATAAGCACAAATGCATATGGATACACACACATTTACAGAGACATCAACAATCAACATGTACACACACACTCACAAATACACATTGATGCACACACACTATAAACATATATTAAAGCCATTGTTTAGATTAAAGCAGGAATATGTGAAATTTCTTGCTCGTCTAAGTAAACTTCCTTTACTTATATGGATAAACAATGTTTGCAGCACTCTTGCAGTTCTTTAAATTTTTAATTAGCCTGTTTGTTAAATGTGTTTTTTTGTCTTTGCACCTATATCTATTAACTAATGTTTTTTTATTTTTTTCTCTTCGACAGGTGTGACCTTTCCTGCAATCAACGAAATGAGCAAGTTCCTCATCATCACGGCCTGTTCCTTCGGCTTTGTCTTCCTGTGTCTTGTCATTTTCATGTTCCTTCAGTACAAACACCAGGTTAAGAAGAATAAAGGAAGCCAATCTGTAACCAACAATTCACGTTACATGACACCCAATCTGTACGCCCAGGCCCCGGCACCAAACCAAAAGTGTCCAGATTACATCCGCGGGACTGGCTCTGGAACTAGAGATTACTTCATGAATAGTCATGACTACGAGGATATTGACGGGCACCACAAGTCCGCGTTTGAAACTTTTTCACGTCAAGCTCCAGGCTGTCGAGACTCTCTCAGCTCCTTCAAGGCTCCGACTGACCTCACTTTCCTTCAGTCTCCGTCTCCCAATGGAAATTCCTTCCGAGGCCACGATGATATAATGATGCCCAGTTCTCCCAGAGAAAGTACCAAAGCCTTCCACCTCCACGGAGATGGGGGTTTTCAGTACACCATCTCCCCCAATGGCACTATGGGATCATTTAAAGGCTCCCCACCTTCCTCTCCCTACCGCAGCCTTCACTTCGGCGGTAGTGGCCCTGTGTCTAAAGGTTCCTCCGAGTCTCCTACCCACAGCTCTCACACTCTTAGCTCTCTGATTGGAGACGAAAGCCCATACACAAGTCGCCTTATACGGGACAGACTGATTGATCCAGACAGCCCATACCGAATCATCTCCCATGAACGCCGAACAGGAAGTGAGAGCCCTTACAAGAGGAAGATTGAGGTGGAGAACCCACATGGCATGCAGAATGACCCAGTTATGATGAACCACGAGGGTCCGTACCGACTCGTCGCTAAAGAATCTCCCTACAGGAGTCCAGCCCTTCAGCGAGAACTGGCTCAATCTCTGCGTGTCAACACGGACATGCCCCCTCGCAGCCCAGGCCCTGCCTACCCTCAGGCCACCGACGTCCAAAATTCCCTTCGATCTGTGCACGACAGCCCCAGTCTACACCGCCAGATGTCGACACCTCGGGAGGACCCTAGCGCCTTTTTGCCAGTTGGAGACTTCTTGTACAAGAGGCCTCCTTCTCCGTTATCTCCTCCCATCTCTAGCAGGAAGTCAACCGATTCCCTCCAGCGATCTCCATCTACCCCTCGTGCTTCCCCTAGCATGTCTCGGAGGCGTATTGATGGCTCGTACCGAACTCCCCCGATGTCACAGAGAAGAAAGGCCAAAAATGAGATGGGAATATATGAATATGACTGAATACCATAAATTCTAATGAAATAATTTAGCTTAGAACAGCTTGCTCTTTTGCTTCAGTTAAATGGCAGGAGATGATCCCACCTGCCTCATTGTTTGCAGCTGAAAAGAGACCTGTGGATGATTCCACCCGAATTTTATTCGGCAGAGTCTGTTAAACTGTTTTAGTTAAATTTTCACAACATCAAAATTGCTCCATCCCGCTCATTATTAACCACTATTTGCAGGTGCATCTTTTGTATCTTTGCACGGATAGAGTTGTCATTGCGTGGGGTTGATTCTGAACTCTGGCCAAAAGGAGACTGCTGAACTGGCAAAATTTACTTTCTTTCATGTAGTTTGAGCTCCAGATAGAAATCATTGAAGTTGTACAGTCACTTATTAACAGGAAAAATGACTTTGGTTTCATCAATTATGCTTCATTTGTGACCAAATAGCCCACATCTTTGGGTTCAGATGCATTGAACTGATGGTCATCAAATAATGCATTTCCCCATGTTGACAGTGTGTAACTCTGCAGATCTTTTTTTTTCAAACTTGGACACATTTCTCTGTGCCCAGGTCTGTGTTTCAGAAACGTAATTTTTTAAGGGATCTAAAAGATTAGCATTTTATTGTGAGCATGTGAAAAGGTAGATTTTTGCTCTCTGAACTATAGTTAGACATCTAGCTGGGACTAGTTATAGAGTAAATAACTGCTTTAACCTTCGAGTATTTGCTTTTACATATCTCAGTGTTGTTACAGTAGCAAAATGTGCTTGTCTTGTTGTCTGGTCACCGGTTGGAGAGGATTGAGAGTCTAGATAGTTTATTCAATGCTCTGAAACGTGACGTGAAACAGCGTAAGGTATATGGATATTTGACTGAAAAGGCAAGAGGATCTTGCACTTAAGAAAGAAGTCTGTCACAAAAGATGTAAATTTCACAAGTAGCAGCATTTATTCTACATGCTTTGAATGACACAACGTCTGAGCTGCTTGTCAAACTTTTGTTTACAGAGAATTCTTCAAGTTGTGTGAATTTCTGGAAAAATGGAATGATATTCAATTGGGCTGCTTTTGTCTCGCTTCTATTTCCTTCACCTGAGAATACGATTTGAGGTGTGAACAAAAACACGTGGGAGCTATGCACATATCACACCTCATGTGTTCTGATTCATTATGATGTTTACATAATATCACTTCCAAAACTGTTCATGGCTGAATGTAAAAACATTTCGAGTCTCTGTCTTTACAAAGAAAAAAGAATGAATGGTAAAGGATTTATTTATCTTAATTAGATATTTTCTAGTTCATTGTCTTCTACCCAATTCTTTGTACATTTTACGGAAATTCTGTAGACTGCTGTAATTTTAGATATTGGAATATTTTAAAATGATGAATGAAAAACTAGGTCCCTGTAGACTGCAGAATATCACAAAACTGCAGATTTTTCTTTTCATCTATTTGCATGTTTTTTACATCTAGGAGAACTTTTGAAAGTTATTTCCAATGAGCTATTTTTCACTCTCTAGTAGCATTATGCTTATTGTGTGGTTTCCTTCAGTGTTTTGACAAATTCAATGATGACAACACATTTGTAAAGTGGAATGAAAGTATAACTGTAGAGTAAGTGATTCTTTTTTTTCTTGTAGATAATTGTGCTTTGGGAGTTTCTCGTGTGAAGTTGACAAAAATTAAGGAGCGCAGAATTTGTGGAATGCTTGAGATAAAGAAAAAGGTGATGATTAAAAATTGATCTGTGTGTTTGCCTGTTCATGTATATTTTATGTATGTGCTTATTTAATGCTATTGATTGACATATATGCACATTTATTTAAATGTGTAGGTGCGTAATATATGTACATACATGTTTGAAAATGTGTTTCTGTATTTTTGAAGGTGTCCATAAGTGCGTATGTTTGAACTTGATGTGAAGGTGTCCATGCATGAGCATGATGGTGTATGTAGTCATAAAATAATATGTTTAAGTATACGTGTGTGACAAATTTTTGTCATATTATATGCTTGTGCGAGGAAATGAGTGCTTAGGGCCATGAATGAGAAAGAGTATGTGTCTGGTCACATAGGTGTATTCTAATTTGTGTGTTTGTGTACGAGTGCTGCTGTAACATTGCAGCATGAAAGAGTGACTGAGAAATACCATTATGCTATGCAGTTTCATTCATTCCATTTATCTGTGTCTCCATAGCGCTGTAACTGTAAAAGCCTTGTTGATGTGTAGATATAAGGAGTTCGGCACAAACTAGTGCTTTGAGATGTAAGCATAAAAGCATTTTTAGTCCTAACAGTTATTTGCCTTATAAATGTCTATCTAGTCATTGACATTGTCAGGGTGGTAGTGTGTGTTGTCCATACAAATGTGTCTTATTCACATCATCTTTGCATTCATCATTGTTATAAATGGCATACTTGTAAATTTTGATGTGTTTGTATACATATTCAGTTGGAAATGCCATGAGTGAATGATGTGGATGGAAGAGTATATGCTAGAAATATTAATACAATCAGCATTTTGTCATAAAATATGTACCGTACTTAAAACTTGATCGCCTAGACCATGGCAGTCAGCCGTCACGCATCCTTGTACCTGATTAGAACTAATCATATGTATTGCTGAAAGTTGGTGACTATGGAAGACAAGAATTGTTTTAAAAGGTGTCAAAACAATGTGATGTATGACAACCATTTTATTTGATCCTTTCTGGCAATATCACACCTTTGGAGATTCCATAAATTATTGTTCTAGCTTTTCACTCTTCATTATAAGAGTGCCCAGGTTTTCTGGGGTAAGCAGTCTGTTTGAAAGATGTGCACATAAAGCGATTCCTCAAAGTTGAAAGTTGTGATGTATGTGACGTTTTTATTAAATATCATCCAAGACATGCTCATTTGCAGTAACATCTAAACACGTCTTGAGAGAAAAGTCAAATTTCGAAATACTTACTTCACACTTTGACAAAATGTCATCATGTGCAGACTCATTAACCAACTTTGTCCAATTATCTCTTATGAGTTCTTCTCAACCTCAGCAACAACATGTTTCACTTTCAAATGACCATGACCTGTTCATCTGCTTCTAGTTTTAAAGAAACAATTGTCATGCTGTCAAAGGTCTTTGTACAACATGCTATTCTCTGAACACTTCATACCTCAGAAACCTTTTATTCAACGAACTAGTTTTTATGATTCTCTCAGCGGAGATATATTTTTTCTTTACCAGTTTTTATTCTTATTCAATCTCAAGTGTAATCCGGAGATTCACTTTTAATTCACAGATACACTAGATATGGCATATTAAGGCTGTTAATTAACAAATTTTACAAATTTGTTTTTTTTTGTCGAAATACTTGATTTATCGTAGATGTCTTATCACTTTCTTCTGAAGCCTCTTTATAGGGCATTTTATCTCTCATGATTACTGTTTTTAAAAAAGACTGAATAGTGCAATAGAAGTTTAGGAAATGTATTTTAGTTTTTCACAGATCTAAGGCTCACTCCTAATGTAGATCTAAACAATTCAATCCACATACATTATGGTTTGATAACTTTGTCTCTCTCGTGCTAGACTCGGAGGCCAGTAAGTACATCCTGAGCAAGATATGAACCAGTGTCTGGTTCACTCTTTTCCTTCCTCCCTCCCTCTTTCCTAGAATTTGAGAAGTATCATTTTATAATAATATCTTGGTGGTTCTAGAAAAGAACTGAAGCATGATCAGTTTTGTCACTTTAGCAGCTGCTGATGTGGGCTGATTTGTGTATGACGTAAGTGAACAAAGAAACTGAGAAGCTACTAATCTAATCTTACAATTTTTATAAAGCTGGGTACCTCACTTATCAAACAACCAAATGCTGTGTGAAGGTAAACAAGAATATAAAAATACAAGAGTATGTAAGCTTCCAGGAACGGATATTTCTAAATCGTTTGCGTTTTTTTAGTACATATTTTTTACATTTAGTCCATTTCTGTTGATAAAGAAATGTACGTGTACACGTTCTTGTATTATCTTGTTCTGGAAGCTTACATATTTTCATGTCTCACACAAGGCTCAAGGCTGTTTGTATTATACAACCAAGAATACCTCTACAGTCTACAGAAACTTTTTGTTTGCCTTGCAAAACTGTATCACAGTGAGTAATGGGGCAAAATTTTACAGGAGAATTTCCTGGAAGAAAAATCAGTTTACAGTGTGTTCTACATAGAACTGCTCATTGAGTACTTGAGCTTCGAGTACATTTGCACAGTAATGTGGGACTCTTCTCTTTTACTGAACCAATATATAACTCTGTAATTTGACAGGCTTAAAAAACACTGTAGTGTGATCAGAAAAGTTATTCTTGAAAAGGTACAGTAAACATTTTACAAAGGGTCATAGCCATTGGGGAAAGGTTTAAATCAGTATATCAAAGTTTCTTATCATTTCAGCTTTCAAAGTAATAGAGATCTCTGAGAAATGTCTTTTAGACTCACGTAAATCATTAAGAACATTGGAAAATATTTTCTCTCCCCCCCCCCCCTCATCCATCCCTCCTCTCCCCCCCCCCACCTTCCCCCACACACATTATTCCGTTGTCAAAAAAATTTAAACTCATACCAGACTATAAATCTAGCCTAAGTTATGAATATGAATTCAGAGCCATCAGTCAAAAATTAACAATAGCTGCCTTCATTTCTGTGGTACTTTGTAATCAATATATATGCTCTAAGTAACAGTATACCTCCCGATTCTGGGTTCACCATATTATATCTAAGTAAGTCAATTTCTACTCCTCTTGTCTTCTATATCATTTCACATGTTCTTTCTATTCAGTAATAGGGCTGTCATGGATCTAGTGTACGGACTTGTCATTATTTAAACGATTCCAATAAAACAATTTTTTTTTGTTTCATATACTGACTTACGACTTATCCTTTGTGGAAAAATGGTCTCGGAATGTTATTATCTCAGTGTAGGTACAGTTAGTTGGCAACAATACTTTTTTGGGGGAGAGGAGCATGAAATGAAAATTTCATGGCACTTTCAACACAATTAGGTTATATAAGTGCCAAAGATTAGAGGTGTTACAAGAGAGAAAGAAACACAAGAAAGAAGGAGTGGAGAAAGGGATGATAGATGTTTGAAAGTGAAAGGAAAGAAGGAGCAAACCACAACAGAGCACAAGCCAACCAGCCACTTGTATAGGTTCAACACCCACTGCAACACTGTTAGTTTATTTAAGAGAAGGGACCTCTGAATTTCATGTCCACCTTCAACAGGACTGGAGAAGAATATGAGAGACAGAGACAGCCTGTAGGTAGTCCTTCGTTGCCGAAGATGACGATGAATCCTGCAGCTCATCTGTGGACTCGCATGTGGCTGTGCAATCCGATCCTGGATGAACAATGTCTGTTGCAGTGGGGACACTGGAATGTCATGGTTGTGGTGGTTGGCTTGTGTCAGAAACAGCACAGAGGACTTAATGAAGTAGGATCAGCCAGAGACTCCTTCTGCTCACATACAGGGATGCCAAATGATTTTTGAAAAAAAAACTGAAAATGAGCGGAGCATCACACCTCACCTAAAACGAACCTTGTAAAATCTTGAAATGAGCAAACAAAAACATTTCTCTTACCATTCCCCTTTCCTTTGAAAGTGTATGAAAAAAACGGAAAAAGCCGGACAAACCGGAGATTTGGCATCCCTGCACATAGCAGAACAGACACATGTCTCCAAGTCTTTATGCAAGCATATTGTCAGTCTGCCATAATAATAATAATAATAATGATCGCATTTATATAGCGAATATCGATGCTCCGCAGCATGCTCTATGCGCTTTACAACTATTATCCAAGCAAACCCTAATTAGTAAAACACTCAGAATCATTCTCCGCTTCCCAAGACGCACAATGCAAGTTGCGGATTGCATGTGTTCTAACACTAACAAAACTGGAAGATATTTTGGTGTCTATAATCGGTCTATAACCGGGTACCCAATCCCACCAGGGTGAAGCGAGGAAAACTCATGTAAAATGCCTTTCTCAAAAACACAACATCGGACCCCTAACAGGATTTGAACCCACAACCTTACGGCTGAGTCCAAGAGCCAAATCACTGGGCTACCATTGCCATAGAGGTGGATTGACGAAAAGACAGCAGTGTAGTTAATGGAAGTCAAGACCCGCACTAGTAATGTACCCAGTATAAGATTTCACTTTATTATGGTGATAAATCTGCCGTTGCTGTTGCTGCTGCGATTAATGATGATGAGGATGATGAAATTGATGATAATGATAGAAGCAACAATTACAACGATGATGATGGTGGTTAATATGGATTTATGAAAGTGATGATTGCAATAATGATGATGGCAGTGATGCTGATGTTTAAGATGATGATAATAGTAAAAACAGAAAGAAAAGTCTCCCCTCATGAAGTCCTCCCATCAAAATGTTGGACTATTTAAACCTATAAAGTTTATGGTATATTTCTTGTAAGATTTGTCATTTTCTAGATTATCTTTCGTGTATCTTTATCCCACATGATGATGATGATGATGATGATGATGATGATGATGATGATGATGATGATGATGATGATGATGATGATGATGATGATGACAGTCAAAATGATGATGGTGGTGATGATGGTGAAGAAGCAAACGCTGGTGCAGATAGAGCTTGATGTTTTAAATAAAGAATAGTAGTAGCTGAAAATAGAGAAGGATGGAGAAAAATGGTAGCCTGATCTGCCTTGGTGTCCCAACGATCATCTAACTCTAAAGAATAAGTAAGTAAGTAGGCCTACATTGACAAAACTAATAGCCATTTCAATGAGGCAAAAAAATCCAGACGTACAGAAATGACAGAAAGAAAGAAAAAAGTAGAATCCAACACAGACACCCTCCCACCACCTCTCTGGTAAGGCTGGTAATGATAATTATGACAATAAGCATGGGGATACAATAGGCTTGAGTACACAAAAAAAGTAAACAATGATAAAAGAGATCACCTAAACTTCAAAGTGGCGACCCACTGTTTTCCCTTTCACACAGGTTTCCTTTCACACAAACATTAGAATAAGAAACCTGTAACAAGATCTGATGTAAGAACAGATGGATATATTTATTTGAAGCAAATATATATAGACATTTCAGTAAATATATATAACAATGTAAACAAAAATGAGTACTTGCAAAAACATTGTAAGGACCTACAAGTACATGTTAGCCCTAGCAGATGGCACTGGGATGGATGCAGAACAGACAACAGTAAGCCTGTTGTGTCAGCTGCAAATTAGGACAATGCACGCTACAAAGTCTGTGGCAGTGAAACCAAGGAAATAATCAATTCTCTGCACTCTGTTAAAGAAAGACACTTGGAAACAAAAAAAACCAATACACGGCAGAAGTAGATTGCATGAAATTTTTGTTGTATTAAATCCATCAAAAGGCAGTTGTAAAATAAGCGCAGTTCAGAGAAATTTTAGACAATTTTGGGAGTCAGTCTCAGACAGCCTCTCTGTGTCTTGGCCAGAACAAAGAATAAATTCAAAATGTAAGAAATTGATTTCTAGCAGTTAACACAAATTTCTCCAGAAGGTAATATTTCTTGCAATTAATAAAAATTTCACCGGAAGGTAATGTCTACAGCAATCCCTACACAAGTCCATACGTCGCAGGTGTTTTCTTTAAGTCCTGTACTTGTGGGAAATTCATTGCTTTATACAAATCTTTAAGAAGTTTAAAACTTTCTGTTTGCACACAGATTTAGTATCAGTTCAACACTCTGACAGACACAATTTGGTCAATTCACAGATTTAATCATCTTTGACTAAAGTAAATGTTACAGACAAGAATCTGCTATGAAGCAGTGGGCCTTTCACAAATAACAATCCAAAAGGGGAAATTTCTGAGGCGAGAACAGCATAACTCCCAAAATAGATAAAGTAACAGCTAGTTAGTTTTGCAAAGATAATAAATACTCATACTCGTTACAAAAAAAATAATGAAAATAATCAAATAGTTACTTATTCTTTCGAGAGCAATTATACAGAAATGCATTTTATAATTCAATCAATGTACGATGGCTTTGAAAACAAAACAAAAAGCACAGCGAATGTTCCATCTGGGTTTTTTTTAAACATACATAAAGCATCCTAGAGACACAAAAAGGCGGCTGCAGGGACATAAAGTAGTTGTAAGGCTCTAATACAAATCAGGGCACCCAATTGTTATAATAAAGACAGAAATTTTTTCAGATACACAAGGAAACTTACTTGATGTTTGCAAGCCACATGGCTCATGGATGAGGAGAAACAAACCAAGATCTACAACTGAACAAGTGACACTACAGAACAAAGGGCTTTCTATGGTAAGTTAAGGGACCTTGAAACTACAAAACTCTTTTTTGCTCCGATGAAAGCAATAAAAGTTCTATGAAGTTTGGTATATTATAATAGCATGCATTAAAAAAATCTATAAACCTGGCTGCATTGATTTTTGATCTTCAAGGAGATCTCATCAAAATAGGTAAGCGTTTAATTTTTTTTTTATACCATACTTGGAGTTCTTTTAGCATTACTTGGATTTACTTGGATCCAGAGCTAGAATCATAGCAGGCGGCACATGTCCAAAGCTGCTCATCTCTCCTTTCCAGCGTCCACCCCATGGTCTTCCTGCTAATTGTCTCCATGAGGAGCTGGTTTGAGACACGCCTGACCACTCCTCGGAGAAAACTTTTTTTCCCTTTGCCCCCACACACACTTTTCTTTTATTGTGCTGAGTGTGTGGGAGTCTGTCTCCTCTTGGTCATGAAGGCTCTCCTTTCATACGGCGATCACCATTGGTGGGTTGAGCATGAATGTTTTAGCATTGCACTTCCGGTAAAATAAATCCTCATATTTCCCACGTGAAAAAGAAGCTAAGCTGTTATCTCACACATGAAATATAAAATTGCATTAATTATTCTGCATACTATATTCGCCTTCTAACCTACTGTCACTTTAAGAAGCGTATAGACTTGAATCATAATATTCCTAGACCGTGCAATGTTATGGTAGCCACTCTTTTCCCCTGTAAAAACGTTACTGCAAAGCATGCTCACCATATCCGCCCAAATGAAGTGCCAAACACCAGTCTCCCACTGTTATTATAATAGAGAGTAGGAACAACTCTCTATGTTTCCCTTAATTTTGTTCCATACTGAGTCAAATAGTACGCACCATAGTGAACCAGGATTACATCAGAGTACGGCCATGTATTTCAGTGCAATGCTAGATGACAACAGGTTGTATAAAAGCAATTTTTTAATTTTCCAACTTTTGAATCGTACGTTTTCTGCTTGCTTTGCCTATTTATTCTTGTTTCTTTTTGGGTTTATTTCGTGGAGAGAGGCATACGGATAGCGCAACATGTAGATTAGCGTGGCTAAAAATAAAGGAAAACAATCCAGATTTTAAAAAATCCTAACTCTGACTCCGACGGGCATGAAAATGTTGTTTTCATTTGAGAATCTTGAATGGATCCTCATGTTGAATTGGCTCATTATTTGAATTTTCTTTTTCCGGATCTATTTCGCCAGCTGGTGCAAGTATGGTATGAAATATTTATTACACTCGTTATGATGTTTGACCATGATTTATCCTACTTGTGAAATTGCCAGTTGTAATCACTCGCTGAAACTCGTGATTGCAACTTGGCAATTTCACTAGTAGGATAAATCAAGATTTAACACCACGACTCAAGTTATAAATTATTTAGATCTATCTTTAATTTGCTCTCAGTCAGAGATTAAAGTCAGTTACTTGATTAAAATATATTCCATCACTCTAACTATAGCAACTTGTATATAAAATGAAAAGGCAATTAATGCAAACATAAATAAATGATTTAAGAGATAATGAAACAGCAAATTGAGAGGAGAATGCATTTCCAAGAATAAATGACTACAAAATATTTTTTAAAAAATCTATTTAAAAAAGCATTAATAAAAGTGTCTTAGTTTTTTCATGCCAGCTGTTTATATAAACATAATAGACAATAAATCAGCACCGAATTAAAGAACTTTAAGGCTTTAGTTAATAAATAAAACCATATAAATAATACGTAAGAGAAAGAAGTTGAGATTCAACATTGTCGACCTTGAAACTGACCTGATTCCCCCTTAATAAATGTCACACATCAAAGTGAACAGCAGCAGTCCTCAAGAGTTAGGATTATTGCTAGAGAACACTTTTATATAAATGGAAATTCCACCTCAGAATATTCAGATTACAATGTCTTCTCTTTTTCTTTCTTTTTTACATAGAAAAAGCTTTAATCTAAGATCGAACTTCTGAACACATCAGAAATATTGAGTCATTATCTTTGTGAGCCATTATTTTCATAATCACCCAAAGATCTCAAAAAGAGCTAAATGTGTAAGTATAGCACAGAGTAAGGTTATAGAATCAAAACATAACAAAAAGTTATCAGCATCTGGTAAATATCATCACACTATAATATCTCAGCAGTTTGTGACACACGGAATGTACCTGGTATCCAAGAGTAAGGCTGTCTATAAAAGTAAATATCACCCATGTAAATCTATACAAAACTAACCATCACGATTGTTCTTTTACTTGTATGAAAAGGTTGACACTATTGAATTCATAAAAGTGGTCACAAAACTGACCTGGACAGGATATAATAAGGCGGAAAAAGGCTGCCTTTTTCTTCCTAACTTGTCCAGTATCAGTACATTGCCCACTCTGGAATAAAGTACTAAAGACTACCAGCTAGTCAAAAAGATTGACCATGTTTAGATTAAGTGGACTCCACTGTAGAGAAAGAAACCTATACTTCCGTTCTTCCATTCTGAGTATACTCTGCTCTACAAACTAAATCAATGATGACTGGACTATGAAACTAAATGGTGTACTGGCCAGTTATGTGAGCATACAGGAGCAAATAATTCCTGTTTGTTTGTTGAGATAAAGAAAAGCATACAGGAGCATAACGGTCATTAGTGAAAGTAAGAAGCAAGGGAGAAACAAAGAAACTTTCTGCATGTATACTGACAGCTTTTTCCAATGATTTGAAGAAATTGCATGTACCAAGAAACAGTACGATTAAGGAATTTAAAAGGACTATAGTGTAATGTATAAGTATTACTGTTGCATACTTCAAAATATTTAGTACTGGGATAATGTAGAGTATATTACTCAAAATGCAACGATGTAAAATTCTTAATAATTCTGGACAGGATAAGTTTAGATATGATATGTAAAAGGCGAATTTCTAAAAAAAACCAAAAACTGCTACATCACTTTTAAAAACAACTTACTGAAAGAAAAATAAGAATACATTGAGAGGGCGAGAAAAATATAAGTAGTATATTTCATTAAAAAAGACATCAATGAGTAAAAAAAACTGAATTGAGTGAGGTAAGCAGGAGAAAAAGGACCAGCAAAAAGGAACCAAGAAAATCAGATGGAAATACATACAGAATATCAATTACGAAAAACCAACAAAGCTGAACACATAATTGCTGTAAGTGACAATGGTGTTGAATTAAAAAATAATAAGCATTTACCATGGCAAATACCTGTAGAGTACCCATGGACGTATGATAGTTTGAAAAAAGCTTTTCAAATTACAATTTGATTGAAGAAATCGTAACCCAAAGAGAAACATTGCCACATGTTGCAATAATGGCACTTTAGAGTAACATTGCTCATCAACATGGAATCAGTGGCATAAAACTTTTTATCATTAATCGCAGTTTCAACAGCATTAAAAAATTTCTCGCCATTCCCTTCCCCAAAATCGTTCCTCCGGTAATACTGCAACAATTCAAATACACTCAAAACAAAAGGGATAACAAAGTAAAGTTGATATAAATGTTCAGAATGCAACGAAGAGTATTCTATACAGCCTAACAGTAGAGATATGAAGAACCAGTGACAGAACAGAAAATTTTTCATCCCATATTCTGATGTGTCAACAGTTCATACTCCGCAAAAAGCACCAAAAAAAGTACACAATCAACTGTTTCAGAAAGAGAAAAAAGGCTAGGCCTTCCATTTTTTAAAATTACAAACTTGTTTTCTCTTTCTTTTAAGAACCAAAAAACCTCAGGTAAAACATGCTACGCCTTTTATAAAATAGATTTTTCTCTTAAGCTTATCAAAATCTATATGTCAATAGAAAAAGATTTCAAGTTCTCTTTTGAGTATGTAATATGCCCCCATTCTGTTATGCAATGCCTTTTATGACTCTTTAAAGTCAATATGAATGTTTAAGTCATGAACACAACAAAATTTAAGTATGTACTTTATAACCAACAGCAATATTCTATGGCAATGAAAATAAACCTGAAATGGGGAAAGTTAAACATTTTGCGTAAGCTTTGTAGAAAGAATAACCAAAAGAAACCCTGCTTTGACAATTCACTAACAAATGGGATTTAAAAAATCATGCAGGACAGGAAAGACTACCATGTTTTTGGGGGATACTGAGAAAGGAATGCAAGACTTTCGTATGGCATCATAAAAAAAACAACAAAGAAAATAAAAAGCGGAAGACCAAAAAATACCCGCAGTAATGAGACTGAGAAATATCTACAACAACCTGGCTTAATGCCATGTAGAGAAAACAGGTCAGAGGAAAAACACAAAGAAGTTGGAGAAAGTCAGCCCAGTGTGTTAAAAGAAACTAAAGCAAAAATGAAAGTAAAGGGATACTCAAATACCTTGGTCATGCAAACAGAAATCTAAAAACGGACTTGACGGCAAATGTGCTACAGAGCAAAGTAGAGGCAAAGACAAATCAGGCAATGCCTCCAACATCATACATTGAAAATGTAAAATCCAACAAAGGTCTACAACTTCATGAAATGGTACATGAAAGCCGAGACCAGGGAAGATAGAGGCCTGTCGTGGCAAGGTGTGGAGCACCAACGAATGAAAGAAGCCATCATGGTGACTAGTGATAGGAGGCATGTGAGGGAGGAACTAGTATATTTAGTCGATTTAAATTTTAAAAGAATGGTTATCTTGGGTAATAATAATGGGTTATTTGTACAAACTACTGGCTATTCATAGCAAAAAGGTCCCACTTGACAGTAAAAAGGTTTTTTGAAAAGTGGAAATTCGTCGAGACAAAGTATTCATTTTCTGAAGTCGGTAGTTTGAAACCCTCTTCAGTACCTGTACTTTCTAATAAATGATTCTTACCGCTTCACAGTCCATAGTGACAACGGTGCTAAGATGTGTATGGAAAAACGTCTTTCTCCAGCTACCTCTCTACTTTGTAAGAGTTTGCTTTGTCCTTTTAGCAGTGTTTCAATGGTGCAACATTTAAACAATTTTGAACTATATCACAAGGCTTGTCTAAGGCTGAGAGTTGTATCACGGTTTCTGACAAAGTCAAATCCCGTCAAGGACAATATTTTTATGGTTTAATCAAACTTCCACTCTATTTTGGGGTCAAAAGTTGAATGTCCTGCTATTGTAGGTAGATGTTTTTACGTCCCAATAGACACAATTTAGACCATTCCTGACTTTTGCGCTACTATCTATATCATTTGACATTAACAACACATTAAGGGTTAAGTGTTAATACAACTTTTATCTGTCAACATAGACTCCCGCAGCGTCTGTGCATTGATTTACTGGGCTGGAGGAGGGGGCCCAGCCTGGGGCACCACGTTGGGGGGAAGGTCTCTCATCGCGAAATAGCCCGTGACTTGCTTGGGAACCTCCGCAAGGACATGCCGAGCCAGATCCGCCGGGCTTGACTGTGAACAGGATAAAAAAAACAGATTCGTCAACATCATACACAATGACTTGCAAGATACAGAGAAGACAAAAACTGAATCCAATAGTGTAGCAGCCAGTCAAAGAAAGATTGACATTTCATTGTAAATGTACCATGCCCCCATAAACAAAAGTGAAATTGATTTATCAGGGGGATAAAAATCACTTATTTAGCCAGCGTGAAGAGTCCACTAATCACTGCATAGATAGCAGTACAGGCACAAAAGATCAAAAGAGTACAAGAGGGTACGAGTATTGCATTTCTTGTGGTCCTTTGTGAAGATGTTGGAACATGTACAATCAATGACTGCAGTATGCTTTGTACTGGGTGGCAATATTTGAGCTGAATACATGTATACTCCAATACAATTTTTAATCTTCAAATGGATAAATAAAAGCTGTTCTATTAAACATATAAAATGAAAGCTTAAAACTAACCTATCTGAATTACTTATTTCTAAGAAAAAAGTTGCCCCCCCCAAAAAACAAAAAAAACAACAACAAATAAACAAACAAATAAACAAAAATATATTTTTAATTCAAACAAACGACAACAACAACAATAAATCAAACAAACTCTTGGTGATTTCACATACAAAAACAGATTATATAGTCCATCATTACAGGGGCTGCACTTCAAGTTGTGTGCAGTGAATTGATTTAATTAACTCTATCCGTACATCTGGGGTCATTTTGTACCCAAAGGGTTTTATTCTTCACAGTTTACAATACTTCTAGAGCAAAGATCCTTTGAAACTTTCAGTATTTCTCAAAAAATCATTTTGACAGACTGCTATGCAAAGCGTGCAGATCAGATTAACGAGTAAATTTCCTCTTTGGAAAGTGGGGGCAGAGAGTTCCCCACGTCGTAAGTATATGATAGTAAAACACGACGTACAGATAGGGTTAAATATTACCATACTACCCCGCCCACTAGAGAGGGGGTGGGGGGAGGGGAGGGGGAGAGAGAAACTAACGTTTTTGAAGTCCCTGAAAGGCACAAACTGAACAATGTCCCTCTTGACGGGTTCACGGCTGGTCGACTTGAGGACTCCGTCATCCCCGTCCAGCTGGTTCATGTCGGAGAAGTCTGCCAGACCCACACCTACGATGATGATGGACATGGGCAGGCCAGAGGCGTAGACAATGGCATTACGGACATCGCCCATGTCCGACAAAATTCCGTCAGTGAGAAGCAGCAGGATGTAGTACATCTGGAATGAATGAATAGCAAAATTATGGTAACAATCTCAACCGATATACACAAGGTACGTGAGTAATAATAACAACAATAATAATAATAATAGAAAGAATAAAAAATATCAAACATCATTTTTCAAGTAATGTGAAAAATAAACATACTTTCACATCGGTTTCATCAATAAAAATAGTAAAATAGACCAATAAATATGAACTCACAGTAAGTCATTACATGCATAATAGTATATATATATATATATGTTTGAAATCACAGAAATCTAGAAATTTCTGAAAAAATGAAAATTGAAGTGAAGCTATTCTTCTAGAAACTTTTGAAATTACAGAAATGTGAAGCTATGATTCAAGCTTTTTTGTGCCAAAATTACAAAACCCTCTGTCCATCCCATAAAATTCGGAAACCTTTCCTAATCTAGATGACACCACTAAAAGGTTTTAATAGAAAAACCAAATAAAATTGTAATAAATTTTCTAAAGCAAGTAATATTAACTGAAAAACTTTAAGTTTTTTAGTAGAGGTTTTACAGTGCTCGCAACTGCATAAGGTCATATGAGCACCAAGGGGTGATGTTGACAGAGAAGTCCTTACCGGGAATCAGACTTACTCTGCTCACCTCTCTAGCTTCACCAGCAGAAAGTCTGCTTCGACTATCAAAGCACCCCGGAAATAGTGGGTCACAAGAGTGTGACAAACATACACAAGAAGTAGTGGAAAATGACGACAGTAAGGATAAGGAAAGAAAACGCAGCAATTCCCTGTTGCAGTTCAGGCACAGTTATGAGCATGACATTGATGAATCAGCTCATTTACAATTACAATTCTACTGTGTATAAGAACTCGAGATGTTAATGTCCCCACCTTTGGGAATGGCCTAAAGACACATCAGTCAGTAGCACCGCCCCCGGGGGGGGGGGGGTCTGGAAAACTTGACAGGTCTATGAGACTCAATATCTCAGACTCAATATCTCAAAGCACATATCATACTAGTAAAACAAAATTTTAAAGTGCCTATATGCTAAAAAAAAAAGAAGACAAAAACCCATCTAACCACCATCCAGATTTACCATTTTGACTTTCTCTAAGCCCATATCAGTCGAGGCCTCACATTGTTATTCTGGCAGAGCTATAACTCCGTGAATATCAGTCAAGCCTCATGTAAACAACTAAAATCTGAGTCACCCCTTTCAACAGCTCAAAAAAGTAACTGCATTAACAATCAAAACAACAAATCCTATCTGTACAAAAAATATGTTGGACGTAATCTCGACAACATATTACCCCAGCTCCTTTTCCCTGCATCTCCCACTGCTGTGCTTGAGCGGCAAAGCGAGCAACATGGTGAATGATGGGAGCCACGTTGGTGGGGCCGTACAGCTGAATGTGTTGCATACAGTTGACGTAAGTGTCTAGCACTCCTTGGATGCCTGTATCATAATAATAATAATAATAATAATAATAATAATAATAATAATAATAATAATAATAATTACAACTATCATGATATTAATAAGGAAGAGGAGGAGGGAGAGAAGGCAGTAGGAGGAGGAGGAATAGGAGTAGGAGGAGGAGGAGAAGGAGGAGGAGGAAGAGGGGGATGAAAAGAAGAAGAAGAAAAAGAAGAAGAAGAAGAAGAAGAAGAAGAAGGAGAGTACAGTTTAGATGTTCCAGATTCAAATCACAGTAGGCCCTGTTTATTTTTCTCATTTTTTCTGAACTATTTCCTCTTAGTCCACAGCCTTGACAGAGCACCTTGTGCTCTGCCTTCGAAATGACCTAAATTGTATCCAGGAGGATGTTTTACTTCAAAAACAACAACAACCATAACATCAATAACAACCTCAACAACAATAGCAACAATAAAACAGAGTCCTCACTGCTTCTTCAAAAAGCTCTCAAGTGTCAATCGGTCAACATGCACACAAACATGCTTACCAGCACAGAACGGGTTCTGGGGATTAAAGTTGAGTGGAAACTCAAAAGAGACTTGGTTGTTAGGGGGTATCCCAGCTCCAAATCCCAAGGCTGGGAACAGCTTGTCACTGAAAAGAAATTAAATAAAATCAGTATGTCAATCCTTTATAGATACCTTAGACAATGTTTTACAGCAGCTTAGTTAGGTCTTAAAGAAACTATGAATCCAATACATCAGTGAAAATGAAAATATTCGGCAAGAATGTTTCGTTTGACCAATTCTGTTGGCCCTACGCATACGGACATATTCTGGAGCACACTGTTGTAAGTGCAGCTACGTAAACCAAGAAAACCGTGATAAAGTACTTTTCTAAAGGATGCAAAAATTATTCCGGTAGCAGCTGAAATATAATGCCAGCTTTGAAGTGGATTATGGACACAAATAATAAGCAGCTTTGGGCCTTTGGCTTGGAGATATGAGGCCACTGTCGTATGTCCCTTCGAACTAACTGTAAAAGTACGCACATTCTATTGCTAAAAAAATTTCCCAATATTTGTTCCGTATGCATATCAACATGATAATGATCATTTAACGCTGGGAAACAGCAAGAAAGACAGACAGAAAAGAAAGAGAAAAGAAAAAGAAGTAGGAACTACCAGTGACGTTCTCCAACCTTCAGTTTTATTTTGACTTTGAGATAAAGAAAATTACGTTGACATGAGACTTATCTCGCCCTGGGAGAGTAACTATACAGAAAAATTAAATATTATTATAACTCACTCATTGACCATTCACTTATCACTAAAAAGACATACGGAAAAGAGAAAGTATGTAAATGTTAAATAGGCAAAACCTCTGCTGGAGGAGATGTTTCAAATGAGTGGCAGTCTGTCAGTGGGAAAGTTTCACTGCTTCTTGATGGGACAGTGCACTACTCATTTATAAGATAAGATAAAATAAGATAAGATAATACTTTATTATCCCAGAGGGAAATTTTCCTTGGCTGTACAGGACCGTAAAAACATATGCGGGTATACATAAAAATCTTAAATTATACATATTATTACTCTCATTAAAATTCAATGAAAGGAGAAGTAAAGCTGACAAAATGTACATTTACATCAAACCTTATTAATATCATATCTTACTTCATACGGTTCCGTTCTGATTTCGAAGGTACTCAAAGGTAAAAAAAAAAAATTGTTTATGCTGACTAGAGTATTTTTAATTTTATTTACCTTTAAAACATAATGAAAGAAAAAAGTGTCTATTTTGAGAGATCACTTCAAACTCTCTGCTTCCAAATTCTCAGCCTCTGACTTCGTAACTAAAGCATAATTGGACAAAAGCACTCAGGCTCTTTGCCATCGCAGGCAGAAAATCTGAGTTTAATTCTAAAGGGGAGTCAGTTTTTTAAAAAAATCACATATTACCGTCTGTCCATTGGGATGCTGCGTCCCACTCATCCCACGTCGACCCTGACAGGCAGGTTCAAAGAAGCTTGCCTCCTAAAGAATCTAAATTAATTGTGTCAATGGGGGAATAGAACATTGACAACAAAGCATAACTTACGAGTCATAGTCTTGCAGCACATTGCCAACTGCCCTGATTGCCTGCATGTACTCGTTAGGATTCTGGAAGTCGATAAAGTGCAGAGTCCCAGGCTGACGGGGATTGCCGTTGGAACCCGTGAAGTCTACACCAAACTGAGGGTTCATAAATTATTTCATTTCAAACTTTTGGAAATACAGATGCAAAGAAACATATATATAGTCGATCCTGTGTAAGACGGAATCGCAAGGGAGCGGGGAAAAAATTCCGTCTTAGACAGGGGAATTTAGGGGGGGGGGGGGTTTCAAAGGCCCAGCCGGTGGGATCAAGGATCGCTTGTCCGATCTGCAAGCAGTGGTCAAAACTTCACACCTCTCAATTGCTATCCTGTCTGATAATGACATGCGTCAGTTTTACTTATCCAATTACTACCAGTGCTTGCCTTTCATAGGACCACTGTTTGACCTATTAAAAACAGAAACGTTTGAACATCTCCTTTGCTTCCACCCTTAGCCCCACCCAACAGTGGCACCCCTCAGTGCCATCATTGTAACAACAATTCGAGGAACTCTTTTCTCGGCTGGCGTACGATCAGGGCGGCAGACATTGGTCAATCTAATTTGACACCTCTGGCTTCTGGCTACTCAGGAAAGTTTCCGTAGTCGCTCGCTACTCGAGCACTCTCACGAGCAGTCGTGAGATTTCACACCCACACTACACTGACCATCTGCATCGCTCAGGGCTCACATGATGGGTAACATCTACCCCCAAATTGCACCCTTACTCCCCATTCGCGTCCAGCGGCTTGGCCATGGCGTTAAGTTTAGAGCCGGCGGAACCAAACTTGTGAGTTTTGTTTCAAATCAAGGCTGAGCGGGCAAAGCATTTTCCGTCTTAGACAGGTGAAACCCTCGGAAGGGAGCGGATTTTTCTTTCCGTTTCCGCGTTGGACAGGTTTCCGTTTTATACAGGTAATTAAAGAGGAATATATCAAGGGGGGAGCGGGGAGATTCCGTTAAGACAGGTTTCTGTTTTATACAGGTTTCCATTAAGGCAGGTTCGACTGTATTTACTATGAATTTATCATCTTTGCCTGCAAAACTTCAAGAGTCTATAAATGATAACATTTGAAACACTATAATTTACACAAGATTCATTATAATTTAAAAAATCTCTAGTTCTAGAAATTGAATTAGATGCAAAAAATGTTTCTTCCTAGTCTACAGAATGGCAGAATGAAAGGATGACGCCTAAATCTCGCAAATGACCAAACAATCTTGAGATCGGAAACCGTTCGGAGAAATGGAGTTCAACTTTATTTTCCAGAAATTTCGGAGAAATAGTCACTTCGAACAAAAGTTTACCCAGAACATATCCCTAAGCAAGATTTCCAGGAACTTTTCCAGCAATTCCAGACTCTCTAAAGTAACAAAATTTATCAATTTAGTAGTCTCTGATGTACCCATTCGGTCAAGTAATGTTTTCACTATTAGTTCAATATGAGTACTACAGAGTAATCATAATAAAAATCTGGACAATAAAAATGTATCTTATCTTATCTTAAATGTATAGATTTCTGATGCAGATCATTCATTTGTGGAATGCGAAACTCTACAAACATGTAAGATAAGATGAGATGAGATGAGATGACATGAGATGAGATGAGAATAGATGAGAAGAGATAAGATAAGATTGACCTCTGCAACGATGAATTTGCTGCGGCATGGTAAATATATAGGCCCACACACACACACACACCCACACACACACACACACACACACACACACACACACTCACACACACGAATAGCCATAAGATGAACAAACAAAATTATGTAATGACCAAAGCATCCACGTTTACCATCATCCCACTTTCTCACAATCAAACAAAGCAAGCCACTCACTGTCAGGTTAATCTGGAGCCCTCCAAATATGAAGTCCAAGAAGGAGTACTCCTTTTTAATCTGTTGTAAAAAAAATGAAAGGATGAAACAAGTGAATGAAACAAAAAAAGAGTTCTTATTGATTTAGTCTTTAGTAGCATCCTTCTTTTTAAAATGTAAAGATATTAAGTAAAATACGCACAAAAACAGTAGTATAAGTTGTGAGAGAGACTCGCTCTATAAACCTAAAACAGAACAAAAAGAAATACATGTTTGTTAAAGGATTTTAATTTATTATGACTTCTTTCAAGAAAAAAAAAATTATTTTAAAAATGATAGTCCGTACCATCTTAGTAAATAATATTGTCTGTCAAAGCAAACCAAAGAAAGCAATCTTAGGAGTTAACCATGAGCTCAAGAAAAAAAGTTGAAGTATTCAACAGTTGAGGATAAGTCCAGAAAGAGTTAACATTTCTTTTAAAATTGTACGTTATCTCACACTGATGCATTTTTGGACACAGCAGACAGCTGACATTGCAAAGACGGGTTTACCGAGACCTCGGACAGAGAGGACTGAGACATTCAGGCAAACTCCTCCCTCCCCTCCCCTCACCAAAAACAAGAAACAAAACCAAAAAGCCTCAACCTCAGACCCTCCGATTTTTTTCTAATATGAACAAACAGAACCTGAATTTTTAAAAAAAATAATTTTTAATTAAAAGATTGGTATTTCAGAGTTTTTAGCATTCATATGTATCTCTGTGAGAAAGAATGACAACTTACCTTTAAAGTAGAGAGTGAAACAGATCCTGAGTCTTTATAGCTTTTCTTCTTCTCCTTCTTTTTTTCATTGATGCAAGGCCATGTGACCTGAAATAAGTCAGCTAAACATAGATATACTACTTCAAAATACATGTTCTTGTTGTTGTTAGCGATCCAGTAGCATCTGAGCGTTAACTCTTCTGAGTGATGCCATTCGGTAATAGCTGCATGTCTGTTCTAATTGTTGTCTTGAGGAGTAGAGGCAATTAGACGTGTGGGGTAGCTTGGGAAGAAAACATCCCCTTAAATCAGTTAGTTTTCTACAGAAGAACAGATGATGTTCCACTGTCTCTGAGGGGTAGTCACATAGTGGGCAGGCAGCAGACTGCTTTACTCCAATTGGGTTGAGACTTCAAAATACATCACTTCCCAATTATTATATGAATTTATAGCTTTTATTAATACAGTAAGCCTCCAAAAAGACAAGAAGTATATCAGATGGTTCACAACATAGAAGGTGTGTATGGCCACAAAAACTCAAACAAGCAACAGGAAACAAACTGGGGTAACAAAAACTATAGATCTAGTTCAGCACGATTCTTACAGCTAAATATTATCATGAAAAAGTAAAATAATAGAAATCACAGAGAAAGAAAAAACTTATCATACTATTCTTCAAATTATTCATGAGAGAATGAAAGAGTAGAATGGATAGGCAGAAATTCGCGGACAATAACTACAAACTCTATCACTCTATCAGTCCATTCATCCATCCATCCCTCCATCCACCAGTCCATTCTTCTGTCTGTCCATCCCTCGTTTCCCATATCTCTCTCTCTCTCTCTCTCTCTCTCTCTCTCTCTCTCTCTCTCTCTCTCTGTCTCTCTCTCTCTCTCTCTCTATCTCTCTATTTCCCTCCCTCCCTCCCTCAATACCATGCAAAAAGAAAAAAGAATAAAATCTCTAATCACGCAAAAGTAAAACAATTTAATCAATCAACATACACAAAGCTCAAACAATCTTTAATCCTAAAAGCAAACAAAAAGACATACCTCAGAATCAATTGCTTTCTTCAGCTCTTCATAAGTTGAGGTGAAGTTTCCAATCAAATCATGAGAGCCATCTCCATCCCAGTCAAAGACGCTGAACTGACAAGGTTAAAAGAATAGAACAGAAAAGGAGACAGGTCAGAGGGAAGGAGAAAACTGGAAGGACAGCAAATTTTTTAAAATAAGCACTCAGTGTTTTTTCGAAAGATGCGCCAATGCATCCATTCAGTAACCAAGAAAATACTCTTAACTTTTCCAGTCATCCCCCAATCTATTAGCAGTGAGATCACATTTATGAGACAGTGGATTATCCCCTTTTTCCCCGCCTCACACTAAAAGACATGAGAGCTACGTATATATATGTCCCTCAGAGATCATACACACAGAATGGAATTAAATAAAACGACAAAACAGTGGAGGGAAACCTATTCACTTTAAAGCTTTTGATTGAAAGGTGTAAGTCTTTGTGCTATGGGATCAATAGCAACAAAATGTATCCAATATCTTTCCAGTAACTATGAGACATAAAAAACAATTATCATTTTACCCCTAACTATGACTACTTAAAATAGGACAAATAATGCACCTTTGTACCATCGTTATAGCAACCACAACAGAAGACAAGTACCAAATGATTACATTACGGTGAAATACTACATAAATACAAAACAACAAACACTCATTGTTGTATTGATTCATATTATGTTTTAAAATTAGAGATTTGTATGTAAAAAAAAATAATGCTTTTGAAAAAGTGATAAAATGAGATTCAGAGATACATGAAAGAGAAAACTTAACTGTTGGCTCTAAAACTTAACTAAAGAAATAAAGTATACAGATTCATCATTTTACACAATATTGAAACATCTCCGACTGCTGTTATTCTCACCCTGATCGGACGAGATGGATCGTTGCCACACAAGGTCTGAACACGCACAGTGAAAGGGCGCCACTCTGGATTTAGATTATCCTTGACCACTTCAGTACGGTGAATGACCTGCCAGTTCCCATCAGCTTGAGGCACACTGACCTCAAGAAAAGGATCGGACTTGCCCATAAAGTCCTAAAATTGAGCCATGTGAATGAAAAGGCTTCATACCAGAATCCCGAAGAGTAAGAGTTAGTTTTCTTATAATCAAAATGAAGTATAACACCATCCTCAGTATAATTTAGAATATTTCGAAGACTGAGTAGAGGATTTTAAAAAACGTTCCGAAAAGGACTGGAACAATTTTTATCCCATTAAGAATCTGACCCCAAACATCCACCTTTCATTAGCCAATTGAGCCATGCTCCTCAGCCAACATCTTTGATCTGCACCAGGTATACATTTCGTAACTTTCATAAATGTTAAAAAGGAATTTCAAAAGCAAAGTGAGTCTGACAAAATTGTGAACCAGACATATTGTCAATTTTATACATTATAAACCACTCTATACAGCGACAAAGCACAGCTGATTAAAACCTGTCAATTCTTTGCCATATCGACAGACCGAAGGGCTAGAACCCAAATGGCCGCTGGATCGGAAAAGTAAAAGTAAGTAAAGTATACATTATAAACTGACACTGCTATATATATAAAGCCTGTTCATTTTCCTATATGCCACATTTTAAATCTTAAAAAATACTTCAAATTTAACAAAGTGATGCATATTTTCGTTAAAGAACTTTGAGCCCTTTTGGTTCGGACAAAATAGTGGCTAACGTGACACTATCAAATCATCAGTTGAGAGAAACACATTTAGAGACCTCCTCTAAAAGTTAACAAAAAGTGAATTCATCAAAAAGATACAAGCAGGACAATTGCACAAAAGTTCATTATTTTGCCCTATGGTTACCTTATTATCCAGTTTTTTAGCTCTGAACCTCATCATAGCCAGTTCACAGCCCTCCTTGACTTCCTCTGCAGTAATCTGAAGAAGATATGACTTGTGAATTAAATGAAAATACATTTTCAGCAATTTATTTGGCAAATATCAAGATAACAAAAAAATTTCCATAACTCCAAATCCAGGATAGAGTAATTGTGTTAATATCACTGTAAAGTCATTTACTAACATTCATTCTGGGCACAGAGATGGTATTCTTTATCATCTCTTTACACTAAGGAACCGAACCTAAACTTGAGAATGCACTAACTTTATCCTTTTGGCCACCAAATGCACACCTCAGTGTGCTATGGTATAAATTTTAAGCAGTCGACCCTAAGGAGCTCAAGTGCGCGGGTCAGGTAGGTTTTTGAAACTGGGCTCGGAGGATCAAAACCTCTTGCATGAGGATATATATCCAAATCAGATTAAACCCTGTTGCCAATTTACTATTGGCTATAAAGGAAGAGGAAGGCTACGCAAAAGGTGGATCGAGGGTGTTAAGGAAACCCTAAGAAAACAGAACATCACAACTGAAAGAGCTGCGGAGCTGGCCTACCATAGAAAACTGCATCTCCTCTCGACACTTAAAGGAAACAGAGGATGAAAAAGTAAAAGTAAAGTAAGCCAATTTACTTTACTGTTACATGAGGTAATGTGGCAGGCAAGAAGGTGGGGTGGTGGAGGGAGTCGATATTCAGGATTTAACATGCAGACGGGAAGTGCTTAGATAAGTATAGACCAGATGTAGGATTATGGCAAACAAATTCCAGAGTAGTGATATGACTTATGTTGAAAAGTTGTTTATCATAACGGGCAATGCAAAATTTGTTATACTCACAACAATGATACTGTTCGTGAGGACTTCTCCACTTTTCTTTTGCAAAGGTTTGGTGTAAGGACTACTTGAAACCACCTGGAAAAAACATTTATAAAAAAAAAAGAATTAACTAAATTTGTTCAGCCTTCCACATTTTTCTTTAGCTCCTTATCTCAGCTAGCTGCTTCCAGCGGCTCACAGTTGCAACCGCTGTGCTAGCGAGCAACTGGCGACAATTGCCAAAAACAGGTCTCTTTTACCAGGAGTTCATTCATAAGATGAAAAACTACCAAAATAGGTCCACTTGTTTTGATTTAATGAGCAATTTAGTGACATATCCATCACTTTTCGATTTTGTATCAAAAGAGGGCCCCCCATAGTGGGTTCACACCCCTCGGAGATAAAGAGTTATCACACTTCATATTTTAGCAGCAGGAAGGAACAAATTTACGTTGGTATTCAATTAAAGTGAAGGATTCATCTTAAACATTAACAAAAGGGTACAAATGTGAAAACTTAACTCATGCAATTTGCAAGCAAGGCAAAGAGACTTATCATCAGACCATAGTAACCAGCTACAGATTAATATTTTTCTATCAAATTTGATCAATGTTGCAAAAGCTATTATCATCTTTACCTGTCCCAAGCTGCATTCAATTTGACCAAGAAAATCATCGTCGCTCAATTCCTCTGTTGAATTGTCGACATCATAGATACGAATCCTGATATTCTGTACAGCTTCAAAGTGATATTCTACGTTGAAAGGTGTTACAAACTTGGGATCCAGTTCATTTTTCACATTTTCTGTTCTTGCAAACTGTAGAAGAAAGTAAGTTTTTTTGTTGAAAACATTTAACAAAGATGGGGGTGAGGGGAGGTGGGGGGGGGGGGGGAATTCTGAGTGAAAGAACATATGAAAGAAAGATTTAATTTACATACAGCGACATTGTTACCCACTATCACTAATCAACATTTTTTTCTTGAAATATTTCAATAAATTGTCCCCTCAACTACAACATAAGAAATATAATCAAATTTACATTTTCCTACACCCTTAGACCAGCATTAATTGTACATCAGCCTTTGTATGTATTCTCTCTTTGAGAACAGACACAAATAATGTACACCATAGAATACCTCACAACTATAATAGTACCTCTATCTCAACACAGTAGAGGGCAAAAAGACAAAATGCTTGCATGTTATTGCTCAAACAGCACCAACCACAACATTTCATCATTAAAACAAAAACCATTTAATATTGTGAACTGACATAGTAGGAAGTTGCTCTGTCAAGATTGAGACGATTGAAAGAAAGTGTAACAGCTACATCAGGAAATGGCTTGGGCTACCCCATAAAATGAACACGTCATCCCTGTACAGACAGAGAGGTGCGATTCAACTACCTCTCACATCAGTCATGGAGATCTACAAAGCAGGCAAGATTAGAACTGTCATGATGCTGAGAGAATCAAGGGATAAGGAGATCAGTCGAAAACCTCCAGGTGTCAAAACAGCGAGAAAGTGGAAGGCAGAAGTTGCAACTGACGAGATCATCCATCTCTGCTTTGGAGCATTGCCTTCACCGGTGAACCTTGTCAGATGGAAGGTGCAGGAGGACAACAAGTGTAGATGCGGTAAGCTAGGAACCATGAAGCATATTAAAAATTTTGTCAAACTGCAACCTGGCTCTTAACAGATACACCTGGAGGCACAATGAGGAGCTGAAAGTGCTGACCACAATGGCTACAAAACAGGCGGAAGAAGGAAAATACGCCCCCAAGCTACACAAGCGTGGACTCACCAAGATAGTGTTAGTTCCGCAAGGAAACAAGGTTCCCAAAAGAAAGAAAGCAAACGAAGCCATGGAAGACCAGAGCGGAGGCACATGGGAGGTAGCTGCTGACTAAAAAAAAGCCAGACTTGTTGTTATGGGAGGAAAAAGAGAAAGAGGAGCACCTGATGGAGCTCACGGTGCCCCACAAGAACAATATCTATGCCGCACACGAGCGGAAAGAAAACTGATACGAGTCACTTGTTGAACAATAAGAGGAGGCAGGATGGAAAGCAACCCATTTTCCGGTAGAGGTAGGATGCAGAGGTTTCGTAGCAACTAGCGTCCGTAAGTGGATGAGAGTGGCAGGACTTACTGCAAAGAAAAGCAACAAACTCATAAACTATCTTCAGGAGACAGTAGATAAAGCCAGTCACTGGATCTGGTTGAAGCAAGAGGTCGCAGGCAGGAATGAATCCTAAGAGTTAGAAGCAGAGGAAAACAGTCGGACTAGAATGGAGACCGCACATCGGTGAGGGGGCTCGGTGCTTCAGAAAAGCTTCAGAGAGGAAGAGCCTGAAACAGCGACGCATTCTCTCCTGATGATCTCCATGCTAGAGTCCAGGATACGGAGCGTTCGGCTATGAGCAGTGCATACGGCTGTTTTAGACTACATATTCACCATGTTCAGTGGTAAGGATGGTAGTGGAGATGAGTTACAACAATGTTGAGGGGTTAACCTGAGATCAATTGAAAGCAGAATGCATGGTCAGGGTGCACAGGTCTTCAAGTGTTTGCATAACTTTTGCTCAGTAAACTGTTTCTTTCATAAACTCAGACCCTGACTGTGACCCCAGTCTCAACAATATCTTAAACCCACATGCTCCCTTCAATGTTTGCATCATTGGCTGACAGTTCAAAAGAACAACAGCATCTGGATTGGGAACAGGTTTGTTTTGAGGTCTTGTAAGCCAAAATGAAATGATAATAAATCAAACAAACAAAAAATTTGCTGAAAACATGGTTAATGATGGTTCACAAATGTGTACCATAGCCTGAATAAGAACTATTCTGTCCATAATCTGTTTAAGACTTTGAATTTGAATGCTTCAAGCCCTATCACAGTGCTAGTGATGGTGAGCATTTTGTCTGCATCGTAAATTAGACTGTCGTTCTGTAGTCTTCAGAATTGTCTTAACACAATGTGATGATACCACTCTCAGCTGTTGTTGTCTCAAACATCAAAGAAGGCAAAACAGAGCTTGACTCTTCAGCGCTTTAAGTTCCTAAGCTGGCTTTATTAATTTATCAAGAGCAGTCGATACTCTGAGAGAGTTGAAGTAGACGGTGAAAATAACTCCTGTGAAAGAAAAGACCATATATTCAAAAAGCCATACACTTTATGAAGGCCCACTTGGTGGTCACTGTTTTTCAAAATCAGTTTCATTTTCACACCAAAAGACATATCTGTCTGCCCCAGTCAATATCAGTCGTAAGACGCACTGTACTATTATCAGCTACGAGGCTCGAAAGGCAAAAAGTGACTTTCCATGAAATTTTTGCGTTTTGGATATATTGAAATTTTGATGTCTTCTGCTTCATTTAAGATAAAAATAAACAACTATAATCGACAAAAAATATTTTATTTTGATTTATTTATGAGGTGTGTTTGTGGTTTGTTGTGAGCTTGGGTGACGAGATAAAAGAATTTGGACCTTGCTAGTGTGTAGCTGTGAGATTATTTTTAGAACCATTACCTCATGGCCACCTTTGCTTCAACCAGAGACCTTAAATATTTATAACTATTGGCTTCAACGTTCTTCATCCGCAACTATAAATTTTTAGATTTTGACCCCTTTTCGAGCATGAATGATCTGAAATGTAGACAACTCTGATTGGTAAAACGGAGTAAAAACGGTAAGTTCTAGCTCACTTCAAGTTTGTTTACGTAAACAGCTGACTGTGAGGGCGTGCCCGCTAACTGTTATCGTCTGTTGATCTTTCAGTTTTACACCTGGATTGACTATAAAAAATTCGTTTTTATTGTGTTTTAGTGCTTTTAAAAGACTAATTAACCTTTTTCTAGATCTCTCAGAGCGGATTCCTAACCAAGAGGCCAGCGAGGCGGTCTACGGGCATGTGTGTGTATGTGTGTTGGTGTGTTTATGTGTGTGTATGTGTGTGTGTTTGTGTGTGTAAGTGTTTGTGTGTGTGGGGTTTTTTTTGTGTGTGTGTGTGCTCTCATGTGTTTATAGTGCTATGTGTTTATATGCAAACATATAATTAGGTAGCGTAAACACGGCACGTAAGCCGACTCGTGACCTTCCGAGCGCGTGGTTTCAGTAAAATCGGGGTAATTCAGATCTCTGTTTCTTTATTCTTTGGCTATAAAACACCAAATGCTGAACACTTTGAAAAAGTTCAGATTACCTTCTTTACAATAGTGTAAATTGTTTGTATATCCGAGTATTTGGAGCTGGAGAATCGCTGTGGAAAGGGAAACCCCTCCCGGTCAGAATGCGAGGTCGGCCGGTTCAAAATTGACACCCATTTATTTGAATGCTTTGCAGAAAGATTGATGATTAAATACTGTCTCTTCATTGGCCACATTCATGAGTGTGAGATCATTTCATTTCAGTATTTTATGGCCTCAAACACGATGATCTGTCGTTATTTCAATAAAAACACCGAACGTTGTCTCGGCCGGCGCTGCTCCAGCCCTCGCGTTGAGCGAGTCCCCTCTATACTGTAGTGTAATGAGTACTCCCGGTAGTTTCGTGGAAGGATTCTGGCAAAATAATTACAAGCCAATGACTTTATTCTAATAGAAAAAGAACTGTTCTTTCTTTGGTTCCATTTTTAGCCGGTATTTTACACATTTCGTGTAAAAAAATGATCTTTAAAAACTTAGACCTTTTTTTCAAGGTTTTCTAAACAAACGCCAAAGGCCAAAAATAATAACCACGGGAAACCACGCTCAAAACTGTATAGTTCTCACACAATTAAAAGTCATGTCTTTTCGTAAAATATGGTCACATTTACTTCATTCTTGTTTTAAATTATAGGGAAAAGGTGATAGTTTTTAAAAAAAATGTTAACTCAGTTTTGAAATTTCCTTCATATGACTGATATTGAACGGCCCGGACATAATATTACTTAATTTCCAGTCAAATTTTCATTGAAAAGTAGATGTTAAGTTCAAAAGAAGGAAATTATGACTTACACAAACACCTTGTTTTACAACAGGCACACAGCTCAGACAGTGCCCTACTAATACAGAAGGGGAATAATTGAGTAGGCCCTATTCAGAGGCTCAAAGCCAAAGTGACAAACTTGCTCTACAATATATATATATATATATATACAACAAAGAACCTATGTATTCTCCTTAAAAATCCATTTAATTACCTCTCGGAACTTTCCTCCTTCCTTGAAGTAAAGGACAGCACAGGGATCTGACTTAGATGTGACGTCCTTGTTGAGCAGGTTTTTACAAGACACTCTCAGCTCAACTTTCTGCACCAGCTGATTGGCTGCGCCATAACCCAAATAGCCTGGCTGGTGGGATGCCATGGTACAAAAATCTGCTGGGTGAAAACATATGAAGTAAAACCTCCAAAAGTATCCCCTCAAGATGAAAAAACAAAAATGCATGTGTAGTGTATTAAAGGTATTGGTAAGTTCAGGTCTGATTAAGAGTGAGGAGTTCCACAGAGGGCCGGCACTTACCGTGACAATGTCCACTGAGCCGAGCAAACTATGTAAGAGTTGCTGCACTTATAGAATCCAATTGATGACATACATTTTGGTATTTTACGCTGTGAATGATGGACAATCACTAAAGACAGTGAAAATAAAATAGAAGCAACAGAAAAGTCGTTTCTTGGGAGACTGCTAAGAGTATCGTGGAAGGAAAAGAAATCAAGGTAGTGCTTGATGAAGCCCATGTGGGACGCTCAATGTTAAAAACAATCAGGAAATGACAAATGCAGTTTTTGGGACACCTGAATAGACATAGGGTCTTGAATATCTAGCTCTCACTGTCAAAATTGAGGGCAAGCGAGGCAGGGTAGGCCCAGAACAACATACTTAGGGAACCTAAACAAATGGGTAACAGGGAAAGATCAGGGAAACGTAGCTTTTTTAGAGCATCCGAGCAAAGGAATGAATGGAAAACAATGGTCGCGATGTCTGTCGCAAATCTGGCACTGGATGATGATGATATTTGATGACTAGGCGAGCTACCTTTTTAGAGCAAAGCACATTTGACAGCTACAGAGGAGGACAAATTCGAGTCGTGTAGAATATCAGATTTCCATTTTGGAAAGAGCGGGGGGGGGGGCGGCCCTCAACGGAACTCCTTCCGGATATATAGTGTAATAGTGCAGTAACGTTTTACTTGCTGAAGGTGTAATGAAGGAGACAAACATTATTCTTTGAACACATCATCAAACTGCTGTCCTTTATAATATTTTGACCAGACCATTTTAAACTTGTAACCAGACCTGGACATTTCAAGTAAAACCCATGAAAGCAAAATCACCGTATGCAAAATGAAATGTCTCCGCAAAACCTTTAACATCTCAAGACGAGACAGGCAGAGAAATGAAGAACTCTAAGTAAGAGCAGTCGGCATTGAGTCTTGCCGGCATTACGTAGAAAGACAGAATAAAATAGTTTGGCTACCTGTGACTCGTGACTCCGGCTTCCTGTCCTGCCTCACTCGTGACTTGCCTCAGGCTGGGTAGAGACCGGGATCACTTTGGGCAAAATGGCGTTAAATTGTGCCGGAGCCGAGTTTTTATCTTATGATGAATTTGAGGTCGGCTTGAAAAGTTAGAGCGTTTCTAATAAATGTTTATTTGTCAAGAGGTCATCAGAAAAACAATTAAAGATGGCTCATTAGCGTGTGTCGGGGTCGGATGGGCGGCCTGCACACGTGTGGCTGTGTGTGCGTGTCGGGGAAGGGGGGGGGCGCTATCGGTCCGGGCATTGAACGTCGCATACGCGTCAGTCCCCCCCCCCCCCCCCCGGCAACTGATCATTACAATAATATATAAGCTAGTCTTGACCTAATGAATTGTGCGCTGGTCTATGGAATCAAAAGTTGCCGTATGCTCGGCTCTACACACAGCAACACAACTTTTTCTTGGTAAACAATCGAGATGACACAGGCTTGTGTATTTGAACGAATCGGTCTTCTTTTTTTTTACACAGCTCATAATATGCAGGTGCCAGGAGATCTGCTAATCTTCAATTTTACCCTTTTCTACAACAAAGAAAGTGGGAAACATGGGGGGTGGGGAGGGGCGTATCAATGAGGTGGCGGGCATCGGATCGGCAGACAAGGTGCGGGGGAAACTAAAAAAATGGCGGAAAATTGAAAGCACTGAACGTTAGATCTATAGAACGAAGACACTTCCTTTTTTTCCGGACCCGTGTCCGAATAACATTTTTTCTTATTCGGACTCTGTGTATACCGACCCGGTAACCGGGACCAAAGTCACAAAGTATACAGACCTGGTATGGGAACTCTTTTGTGATTTCGGAAAGTTCTTCTTGGCTCAGGGTAGACCTAGGTTCTTCTAGATCTATGGCCTAGGTCTAGATCTAGACAGACAGACATAAAACATTGATCATCTAGTTTCGAGGCTAGCCTAGATGTAGATCTAGATCTAGAATCTAGATCTAACAAATGAAGATTGCGAATGTCTTTTCGATGAACGATCGTTTTTCCTCTGTTTTGGAGTTGGAGGAATCACAATTTGAAGAAAAGAACAATCGAGCTGTCACCCTCTCTAGATCTATAATTTCTCTCTCTCTCTCTCTCTCTCTCTCTCTCTTTCTCTCTCTCTCTCTCTCACACACACACACACACACACACACACACACACACACACACACACACACACTTTTACCACAATTTAATGTTTTGCTGTTGTTAGGTTTGATATCTTAGCTCACCGCGAATCAAACGTATAGAATCTAGATCTAAATCTAGACTAGATTCTAGATCTAGATCTAGATAAAAACTGTACTTCTTTACTTTACTGACTTTACGTGAAATCTTAATCTAGAGATTTGGATCTAAATCTAGATTCTAGATCTAGATCTAGATCTAGATCTAGATCTAGATCTAGATCTAGATGTAGAATCTGCAGCCTAGCGAACAATTGCAAAACAAAGCAATAAACGGGTGAGGTTTCTGTCCATGATGAGAATGTACAGCAATGCAATGCATAAATACTTACGTTGCCACTGTTCTGTATGTTCAGTAGACCACTGCAAGATTGTAAACAAGGAGGAAGTAAAAAAGTATTTCGCAATGTAAAAATAGATTAAAAGACGAAAACGCAAAAAGAAGAAGATTATTCGCACTCCGTAACAAAACTGTCCGGGGAAATATCTCTTTCCCAAAAGATCTTTGAAATACAATATTATGTGCATGCACTTAGATTATATCTAATCTAGTTCAATTTTTTTTATATTTAGAAAATGTTCATTCTTCTATCTGCCCCTTTAACAGATTTATCTAAGGACCAAGTGTATTGTAGCTTGTAGAATCCAGTAGAGAGGAAACTCACAGTTTATAGGCTCAGGGCCTATGGACTTTTCAGACGGAATTTTTTACCGAACTCTTCATGGAAAAAGGGAAGGTTTTCTCTAGGCTACTGCCTGCTATGTTTCAATAAACAATATGGCGCTGCTCAGTGTGCGGAATGTCCTTACCGGTGTCTCAATAGTCATAGCAGTATTAGTCGCACAAATTATTGTTGTGAAGTCATGTAGCCATCAAACAAGAGCTGTTGTGTTTAGGGCACAATATATACTGCTTATGCAACTTGGTATGCTCGCATTTTCGTTTATATTGTGGAGAAATTTTCGAGATTTCCCGGTGCATTTTTCAAAGTTTTCGTGTGAAGTCCAAAGTCAAAGCTTGACAACAAGACAGAAGCAAAGAAGCTCTGCGTCCCCTGGTGATGATCCCGGAGCATCAACAGAGAGCTTGTTTTGCCGACGAAATCTTCATACTTCAAGTGATGAACATTACACCTTTTCCAGTTCCCAAAATGGCAGTAGATCTAATGTTCATAATATATGGAGGCTGTCGTTAATTTTGTATCTAAGCTTGTGTCATCTTAGTTATTTTTCGAATTTATTTTTGATTGACAAGAACCCTCACTGGTTTGGAATGTTGACTTACTCATGCTTTGGTTCCTTTATTCAGCTCAACACAGGCCTCCTTCTCTTTAAAACATTGTCTCTCATAGTCAAAGTCTGGCAAAACTATGTATTGAAAATTTCATCAGGTGGTTCACATTCTTCCCTGCTCTCAGTCTCAGTATCGGGAATTCATCAGAAGAGAATTATTGGTCTGCTTTCACTCATTTATATGATTCTAGCATCAACTTTGGGACTATATACAGCATCTCAACCACCTGGAGTTGAAAGTGTCAAAATTCCAGTCAAGGACCTGCCCAACAATTTGTATGGACTGTCTATTGTGCAGCTCAGTGATATTCACCTCGGTCCAACTGTTGGGTTATCGAAACTGCAAATGATTGTTGATATTGTGAACAAAGAGAGACCAGGTAATTATGTGCATTTGATATTCATGTAATGATATTATATAGGCTATATCTTACGACGTCACTTTTCACCCGATTCTGGTGTCGGTTGAAAGCGACGGTCAGCGGCTGTCAGCAACGGTCGGCGGCTACAGTCTACATTAACCAACTGGCTGTATGTGAGACCAAAAGACTTTATGACATTTCCCACTAAGTTTTTATTATTTCTCTCTCTCCTCTCTCTCTCTCTCTTCTCTCTTCTCTCTCTCTCTCTCTCTCTCTCTCTCTCTCTCTCTCTCTCTCTCTCTCTTATTTATGGTCAGTCCCAACCAATACAGCGGCATTTCAGAAATAAAGGCGTAAATTCAGATCATTCTAAAAAGTGTTTAGTAATTTTGTAATGAGGTTTAGATAATAATGCAAACAATGTATACAGGTCAATGAACAAATATTCTGAAAATTAAAGTTTGGTTAGGTTCGCTAATTTCGAAAAATGTGCAAATTCGATTCCCCCCAAAACTGAGAATATATACGCTCTTGGGACGGTGTGAGGTACAAGCGCTGCTGAAAATATACGCTCGTGGGGCTGGAAGGGTTAACAAAGAACCCCCCGGAATATAATAGGATTTTTGTTTTTTTGTTGATAGTTTCTCTGTCTCAATGTTTGCATTGACATATATGTCATGTAATGTTCTATAAATTTATAATACTTTCTTTTTGTCCTCAGATGTCATAGTTCTCACTGGAGATCTAGTTGATGGTAAAGCTGAGACCCTAAGAGGTGCAACACAGCCCTTGAAATCACTCACTTCAAAATACGGAAAGTATTTTGTGACAGGTAAATTTATAAAAACCACTTCTGTCCATGGGTTGTATGATCTCTTCAGGTGTTCCTTGACCTTTGAATATTCATGAAGTGTAGATGATGTTGGGGGGCTCTCGTGGCCTAGAGGTTAAGGTGTTGGCCTCTCATTCAAAGGTCCCGGGTTCGAATCCAGGTACTGACCGAAAAATATTCTTCTTCTAAAATGGTCTCCTTTCACCTCCTTTCCTGCTGTCTAGCAATATTCTGTCGTCTGCTTTCATCTCCTCTTTCTGCCCCCACCCCCTCACCTCCTTTGGCCCCTCTTCTGGGCTCCTGACTCTTTCTGCAGCCTTTCTACTGCTACTCCTTGACTCCTTCCTACAGCTGTCTGTCTGCCACACCCCTGATCTTCTGGTAGGAAAGATCTACACCTAGCCTTCTCGGACAGGGGCGAAAAATCTCGGAGGGCCTGTGTGCAAGTTGCACACGTTAAAGATCCCTTAGTGGTCCACCTGGGCAAAGTTCAAAATTTCCTACCAACTAAAAGTATTAGGTGTGTCCCGCGCACTCATATGACCTTATGCAGTTGCGAGCGCCGTAAAAACACTTACCAAAAAAAAAAAATGATGTTGTTTTTCCCCTCTTTTCACACTTTTGTTGTGGCTGTTCAATCAGTTCCATTAGGAATTTGAAGGTATTTAACCCTTTGAGTTTGAGTATTGGCCTCTAGAACTTACAACAAGACCCATGCCCCTGAGCTCCTTCGTTATTTGACACCTCCACGTGATGCAGCAGGAGTTGTTTGAAGTGAGGAAGGGAAAGGTTAGCCCACATTCTGACTTGGCTTTGTGCATACTCAAGCCCATAGGGTAAAAGTCACTCTTTGCCTATGGCGGATGTAGGTTCTCAGGTCGTCTGCTCTGATTTCCTTTCTTTTTTATCCCAGACTTGTCAAAACCTCGGATTTAATCAAAGGCGAAGGAGTCCCATGTTTTGTTTTGCGGGGGTTTTTTTCTATGAAAACCGCAAAAATACATTCTATTTTTCTAAACCATGAATTTTGAGCAACCAACAGAATAGTTAGTTCTACAGTTAGTTTAAAGCAGTCTTAGCTGATTGTCTTTGTACATTTTTCTCTTGCATCAAACCCTGACTACTCTAGTCTTTGTGACTTCCATTTAACCTGAACATGTTTCAATTTTCCTATGATGCGCTGCTGGTGAAATGTACCAGTTATTGCACAAACTTGCTCATTCATGCTATTTACAGTTTAGTACAACCACTCAGTTTGGACTGTTTGTAAGGCCTGTTTTGTTTTCCTGTCCGGTATTAGGAATGTTTGATTGATGTAGAGAAGCTGTGCAGTTGTTGTTTTTTCATTTCTGTTCTTTGGCTTTGGTTTTCCACTGTGTTCCGTTGTTCTGCCATATATACATCATGTATCTTTCATATGGTTTTCAGGAGCAAAGTATCAACTAATTTTGGTTTTCCAATATGTTGTTATTTTTGTGTACAGAGGAACTTTGATTTGCTCAATCCAGCTGAATTATTGAAGCTGTAAAACGACTTTGTCTCGTTGGCAAAAATGTCTCTACGTTATAGACATGTGATGTGAGTGATAAAAGAAATGAGAAGCCTCAAATAAACTGAATTCATTTCATTTCTTTGCATGGTTATGACATTTGACTTCACTACCAAGTTGATCTTCGATATTAAAAGTTAAATTGTTTGTTTTGCTTGTTAATTAGAAAGTCAGTTTGTACTTAATTCTTTTATTTTTATCCTCCAGGCAATCATGAGTACTACACAGGTGATGTAGACAATTGGTTTTCCTTGCTGCGGTCTGTGGGCTTCACCGTCCTACACAACAGTAATGTCAGGATCCCCGCAGAACTCAGCGAGAACGAAGATGGCCAGATTTGTCTGGCTGGTACAGATGATCTTCAGGCTGACAAGATTCAGTGAGTTTGGCAGTTTGTGGACAAAAATTTATTTATAAGGTTTGAGGTGACTTATTAGATCAGTTAAATGCATTTTCATTATGGTGAATAAGAAGAGAAAGACAAATAAGTGAAAAGATGTAATGAGTCATATTTTATTATCTTTTTGAACAGCTCGTTTTCTAGCTCTGCATATTCTGTGGGGAAAGTGGCCTTTTTTAATGCATGCTTGTCCTACAGGCTAGTAATGCAATTAATTCTTTAAGAACTTCATAAGTTCCGTGGCAAAAGTACCTCAAAACCTTTTCATTTACTTGTAATATCTCTTGCCGATTCTATGGGTTTACTCCTGTTCGAAAAGAAAGCAAAAAGGAACTTTTATTTCACTGCTCAGCCCTGCCTTCAAGTTCAAGGATGGAATATCATTGAAACTGATCGCTTGAGAGAAAATACAGAGATGCTTTTGAGGATTTCAGATTTTTAATTTTAAAAAACCATAACTCGTTTGCTTGAGATAAATTTTTGCATCTCATTCTTCTCAGTACCATCCTGCAAATGCCTACCAACTTGTAGATCTGTCAAACCTGCCACTTTTACTTTTAGCTGTATCTGTGTTTCAAAGGTTGCATTCTACTATACTATAATAATGTGAAGGGTTTCATGTTAAAAAACATTTTATTCCAAATTTGATCAAATGCAAGTTACATCCTATGCTGCACATCCTGATTTTTATTCATTGCTGATGAGTTTATTTTCTTTGTTCCAACTGTGGTCTTGGTCTTAACCCACTTTTGCATTGTTGGATATCTTTGTTTCTTTTAATATACACTGTTCATGGGAATCTCAATTTTGGGATTTTGGATTGGAAAGGTTGACAATGGGATCCTTTATGTCTTCTGTATTTTTTAAATGATTATAGTGAAGTACATTTGTATAGCCCTTAACTCCCGTGTACACACAGCTCTAGGTGCTTCACATTATAAATCAATGTACAAAACAATTACTGCCAAGACAAAAAATTATAATATTTGCTTATGTAAACAAAGAATTTTGGTACTCTACTTCTGCAGATATGGCGAACACCGGTTTGATTTGGCTCAAGCTCTCTTGTCTTGCAGCACTGCCCTCCCCGTGATTCTTCTGGCTCATCAGCCCAAGGCTGCGCGCCTTGCTGTGGACTCCAAGTACAGAGTTGATGTAGTCCTCTCAGGTACAGTGAGCCAAGTGTTGTAGAAGTTTTACACTGGCTGTCATCACGTTGCAAGTCATTCTTATGGCAGAGACACCATGTCCCTGCTCTGGGAGAAAGCGTTCCAGGAAGGATGAAAAAATAGATATATAGCGATCCATAGAATCTGACCTCAGAGTTTGGTGTAGAGGCTCATGTTACTTGCCAGCCTTTCTTGCCTATGAAGTGAATTGGAAAAGGTGTTAAAAGTTAAACACAAATAGTTACCTTTATTACTTTACCATTCCTGTGAATGGTCATCACTTAGGACGGGTTGTCTTCTTTTGAGTTATTTAGTCACTTGTTGTTTGTGTTCAACATAAAGGTCTCTCTGACTTTGTAAATGGTATTGTCCAGAGATATTTGGCAACTTGTTTGAGAGTGTCAACCATGACTGTGGTTGATGCATGAATGGTAAGTATGAAGGAAAGAAGAGTGAGGAGGATAGTATGTCCCTCCACATGGTCAACTAGCCAGTTTTTCCTGTAGTTTGTCTCTTGCATTGGCTTAGCTTATTTAATCAATCAGGTTTGTTATTTGTCTGTGTGTGGGAGAGGGGTCTTGGGTTTTTTTTGGCAGTGGTCTAAATGGAAGATGTGTTGTAATGGATATGTTGTGTTTTTAACTTTCTTTTTCTTTCAATCATAGAGTAAAAGAGTTCTGATCACCTTATTTAATTCAAAATTCAGGCTTTATCTGAATCCTGGTTTTAAAATCTGACAGAGTTGTACGGCACCACCTAAAGAATTATGTGACGCAACTGTAGGTTGTTTTTTTTCTGCTTGGACAGGTCATACTCACGGGGGCCAACTATTTCCTATGATGGCAGGAGCGTACTTGCTGAACCCGTTCTATGCAGGGCTGTACTCTGTTGGGGATAACAGACATGTGTATGTCTCCAGGGGTACACAGTACTGGGGCATTCCCATGAGGATTGGAACCAGAATGGAGATCACAAAGATAACCCTGGTCCCCACTGATGATTAGCTGAATTCATTGGCTGCTTGAGATGTCATATTATATATATATTTCATATCATCTGTGTCATGTATCATCAGCACGGCTCCATAATCACCCAAATCATTTTTGGGGGGTGTTTTCTGGGAAAGCTGTTATTAGAATAATAAAAACATGCTCATGTTACAATATAGTATAATATTGTTTCCTTATGTTTTCAGTTGAAAATTGATGAATGTGAAAGTCATGCTTTTTATTGGAGTACTCTCTTTTTCCTTGATTTTCTTTACTTTACTTTTTACTTTTCCGATGTAGCGGCCGTCAGGGTTTAAGCCCTTCGGCCTGTCGATATGGCAAAGAATTTACAGGGTTTTTATCAGCTGTGTTTTGTCGCTGTACAAAGTATTTCCAATATCTGGGGAGGCAGGTAGGTAGGTGCTACGCAGGTCGGTAAGTGGAGGGCAAGTGGTGTGATACTGTTTCATTCTGGCAGTCACACACGGGCTATCAGGTGAGGTGCCCTTTCAGATCCTATTTGGGTGGGAATTCAGTGGGACGTGTTGTGCTTAATTCTCTTCAAACTTCAAAAGTTGACTTAGGTGCTTGTGAAATGTCACTGATAACATGCCATTGATGTGTCCCTAAAACGAACAATGGACTTTTGTGTACTATTGTCCTGATCTGGCTACTAGAAATTCCATTATATTCTTTCAAATCTGTTGTCTTTTCACAAACCTTTGTTTTATGAGCCTGCACAAAGAAAATAATAAGATCACTAGTTGTAGCTGACCACTATTCCCTCCCTACAATGCACAGAGTTTCTTCAATAAGCAGTTTTCTGTCTCTGTCTCTCTCTCCCTCCAGTTGTCTCCCTCCTTCCCTCTCTCTTTTCCTCCCTCTCATGTCCTTCCACTTTTTTATAGCCCTCTGTTTGAATTTTTTTGTGTCTGCTGTCGAACTGGCTTGTTAATAGACATGTTGGTTGCTTTTAATGCCTTTGGTTTTCTTTATTTTATCAAGTAGATTGTTGTTTTGTTCATTTTTGTCAGGTTTCTGAATTGAACTATTTTCAGAGTTTATACATGAAAACCGGTTTATTGTCTTTCAACAATTACATCCTGACTTTTTGTTCAAGAGAATGAAATGTTTGAAGAGACACTTTGACAATATTCGAATTATTTGAGTGTTTTGTTGGAGATTGTTTGTTTTTTTCTTTTTCAAAGGCCATGATTTATTATTCTACTATTGAATTTGTCTGTGATGAAAATTTGTATTGTTTTTCTAACATATGGCACATTTCTGATACTTATACTTTATCATGCATTATTTCCCACCTATTATAATACCTTTTTGGATGTAAATAGTGGGTTGTTGGCGGGTGCTCTGGTGTCGTCTTCTTCTTCTTTCCTATCAAACATCTGTCGTCCTTATCTCCCCTCTTTCTTTTTTATGTTTGTTACTCTCTTGTAACACTTCTAATATTCTGGCGCTCATATAACCTTATGCAGTTGCGAGCGTGGTAAAACCTCTACTAAAACAAAATGGATGTGAATAGACCTGAGTTTGAGTGTCGTCTGCTATTTTTACTTCTTTTTCAACGTTTCTATTATCCTTATCTTCTGTCTTGAGAATTGTGGACGTTCTTGTTTAGACTTGTTGTAAACTGTAGCTCAACCTACTGTCTTGACGTGCCTGAAAAAAAATGTTGAGTTCCAGTGTTGATGTGGTATGATTTAGTGAAATAATGATGAATATGGCAGCAAGAAGATGTCACATACGGAAGTTTATTTCGATAACTGCCGCTTTTGGCTGTGTTCTACCGTGTCTAGTCAGTAAAATTGTCACTATCTACATCAGTCATTGACCTAGATCTGTGTAATGTTGAAGTCATAGGTGGATGGTGAAAGGGTTTAGCTGGTAGGGCTTGCTTCTTTTACTACATTGTCCATGTGTTGTTTCTGTCTATCAGTCTTGCTGTTTTACCAAACATTAATTGATTGTTACTGTGTAGATGTGCTTCTCTGTACTCAAACAAAATAAAAGCCATAGCCACTATGGTAGGCATTTAATTTCAAATTATCATTTCTGCAATGTATTTTATCTACAACCTTAGGGCTTGACCCTGCATGTAAAAGATGTGTTTAGTCCCAGAGAGGGAAAGGTATTTATGTAGTATGTAGTGTCTTCATTTCTCAGTGTTCGTTCGGGTCTTGGAATACTGGAAAATTCTTGGGATTTTGTTTTTATTTTCCAACACATGGAAAACTCTTGGAATTTTGGGAAATTGGCAAAATTCTTGGAAAAGCAAATTTTTAACTTAGTCTATTGCACAAATATATGTCCTCGAAGTTGAGGAGGCCTCGATTTTATGCATTCTGAAGTGTACCATCATGTATTTTTGCATCCTGAGCAAAAAATTTTCTGCCGAAATGACACATTATTTGTCTTGGAAAAAAGAAATCTGGTCTTGAAAACTCTTGGAAACGTCTTAGGAGAAAAAAGTCTCCCGCTCAGTATGAACTCTGATTTTTATTTTGGGACACCGTAACCCTCACAGGCCCAGTTGTTCTCGATAATCGAGGTCAAAGTAGTCTGCCTCTTAAAGAGTTTACAAGGGCATAAAATGTAAGACTAATTTCACAAGCTGCATACATTACAAGAAAGACATTTTTATGGCTCTTGTACTGAGAGTGTAAAATGGTAGGGTGGAGGTTGTTAAGTATTGTTCTTTTTGGAAAGTAATAGAACTTATGTATGTCACAGTAGGCCTATACTATGTGTATGTGCGCATGCATGAATGTGGGTGCAGTATATATGTGTTGATTTGATACTATTTATGTGGGTGTAGTGTATGTGCTGATTTGATACTATTTATGTGGGTGTAGTGTATGTGCTGATTTGATACTATTTATGAATTTACATTTTGTGTTGCCGAAGCTCAAGTAAGAAGGTAGTCAGTTTCTTCCAGTAGAGGATCTATATAATTTATATAATATATATATATATATATATGCTATGAAGTGCATCTTACCTTACTGTAAACGCCCTAGAAATAATGACAACATTTTGAAAGTTATGGAAAAAGAGGAGAGACTATATTCATTCAGACGTAGGCACAGAACAACTATAATAAAAATAACGCTAGAAGCTTATGAAGGACAGGCCTGTAAGAACAGAAAATACTTAAGATGTCTCTTGAAGCTATTTTAGGACAGTTGGACGGATTTGTATAGCTGATAGTTTTCTTAATCTCTACACTTTTACAACGCTTGTCGTTTTCACCTGTATTGCATATTAATTGTGTAAAAGAATGAAACCCTATTTGTATAACTGTTTGTTGTTATATATGGTTACTCTTGTTCACGTATTCGTTGCACTCCGGATGTGGGTATTTTAATTTGTATTCCTTTATAAAAATACAAAGAGCCTGTAACAGGCTTCTGAAGCTCCATTTTTAAACTTTGGTCTCTACAGCCGGTTTTATTAAATTTTACATGCTCGGTAGATTTGTGAAATAGCAAGAGTGGCATTCCAGGTTTTGCTCTTGATGAATGACTTTTATTTTCATTCTCATTGCAATTTGTACTTTGTTACTTTTTTGATGACGAATGTTCTGCATTTGCGTCTTCTGCCTCTGTTGCTGTTTTTGTTGCCAGTGGGTGTTACACCGTTAATTTATTATTTTACTACACAACGACAGTTCATACACTTTATTTTTATATATATATGCGCGGCAATAAAAGTAACTGGCATTGAACATCTTTCATAATATTCAGGGAGTGGCTGACAAGCCCTATTGTGTTAGTTGCTTACATCTATAGCATGTCTTCATGTCACCTTGGACTTGTGTGTCATTTTTAAAACATTCTAATTTATTAGTTTATTTTTTTTAGCATAGAGGCTTTGTCATTCTTTATCATCGGCTGTGTAAAGGACAGAGTGAGAGAGAGACAGAGAGAGGGACTGATAAAGAGTAAAAATTAATTAAGTTTACTTAGAAGTGTGGAGCACAATAAGGGAGGGCTGGCTGGTTTTGGTGGTTGGGGGGACGCTCAAAATAATTTTTTTTTACACTGCATGAACACAAAAAAGTAGATACTTTCGGACAAATAAAATTGACTATGAAGACATTAGCCTTTTTGTTTAGAAGGAAGCAGATTTTTTTTTTTCTAGCCTTGTTTAGCTACTTGATTAAATGTTACAATACATGTAAAAATTTCTAAATTTTCTTTATGTACACAATTTTCTGATCTTGTACACAATTTTCTGATCTTATTCCTATTCAATGAGTTGATTTAGTGGTATGTGTACTGTCATGAAGTAAATTTCTCCCACCAGGTCCGTACATGTTCTCAACTGTACTGTTGGTCTATTTATGCCTGCCATTTTTTATACTACAGCCAGTTGTAAGTTCTGAGTATTATTCGTGATTTTCATGCATTAATTGTACTTATTTATTCAGCACATGGAATTTTGTTCCTGTTTACTGATGCAGCACCTTGTTCTATTCTAGACGTGGAACTCCCCTCATTCTATTCTAGAAGTGGAGTAAATGTGTAACCCATATTGATGTATTTCTCTTGTTAAGACTAATAGAGTTCAGTGAAATAGCTATTTTCTGGTTATTTCTGGCTGGTCTGTTCTGCATTATAAAACAGTACATGCCATGGCCATTCAGGTAGTTAGTAAGTGAACAATTTGTAGAGGTCTTGAAGGAAAAAAAAAGTAAAGAAAAGTGGTGGTTGTTCAGTTCTGTGTTCGAAGTTGTTAGTGGAGGCAGTCCTATCTGTAGTGTAGGCAGTCCTATCTGTAGTGTAGGCTTACAATTTCGTGGAGATTTTAACCAGCAGTTAAAGATAATGAACATTTCAAACGTGATGAGATATTTGACTGCATGAACTTGGAGATTTTAAAAAACAGTAATGGATCTAGTGTATATCATGGGTTAAAGTTTGCCGGCTGTGGCCTGAAATTCCGACTTGAGAAAGCCAGTTGGCATCATGGTTTCGGCAGCCGGCAACGGCCGTCCTTGACTGGACTAACGTCAATCTCGTGAAGCACGGGTTTCTTTCGTTTACCTGACAACTGTCTAAAAAAATGGCCGGCTTTTTAACTCAGCTGCTCGAGTTCGAGCATAAATCGACAGTACAGGGATGATTGGATTCTCTTTTCAGGCAGTCCCTTGAAATGCTATAA